TGGCATTACGTTCCATTTATCATTATTTGTGCTAGGGCTGTCCACGGCCCTATCTTTTGGCTACTTAGTTGCTCCCTCACTTGGAGCCTTTCCTTTGCCAAATTGGAGCACTTGGGAATCCATCCTTGGAAGCCCACCTCTTTTTCCGCAATTCGTTAGCATCAAACACATTAGTGTTCCTTGGCTAACTTTGCCACTTGGATTCTTTCCAATGGATTCCACAGCCCTATCTTGGGCACTCGTCTTTTGCTCCTATCCTTGGATTGTTGCACCAAGCAACATAGGATCGCTACCTCCATTTTTGAGGTTTCCTTTCGGTTCCATAGCAAACACTTTGCTTTGCCAAGTCCAAAAGGTGTTCACCCCTAGTACATCTCTTTAACATTTTCTGTCGTGGGCTCTATCCACGGCCCAACTTTTTGAGACCCTCCCTTGGATCTTTTATAGAGACTACTTTCCTTGGACTTACTATGCCATAGCATTGACATAGCTCATTTCCCTTAGGTGTGCTTCCCACTTGGTCACCTCAACCAAGCCACACCTTTATCAATGGTTCAAATTAACACTTTGAACTAGGAATCATATTCCTTAACCCAAACAAAGACTTTGTCCTTGTTTAGCCACAAGATCACCTAGTGATCTTATCTTGACCCCTTAATAGGTTTATCAATAGGGATTAGGTCTTCCAGACCCTTCTAAGTTGTTGACTATGACCCCGGGGGCATCCCCCACACTTGGCGGTGCGCCCAAGCCAGCCCTTCCGGCCAAGGATCCATAGCAACTGAGACTTGGGTGTCCCCATCTCATCACCACGTCCTTGGTGCCCTTTGCACCAAAGTGTTCAAGTTAGATATGCCGAACTTTCACTCTAAGCAATCTAACCGTGCATCACGACTCCGAGGCATCCCTCGCTTGGCGGTGTGCCCAAACCAGTCCCCTCACTGAGAGTCCATGACCACCGAAATATGAGTGTCCTCATATTCCAAACCATCACCACGCCCTAGTGATTTGGGACTCGAACCCAAGCACTAGAGGGTCGGGACTCGAACCCAACCTCCGTATATGCATCTACGGACGGCATCACCCAGGATGCCTGGCGTGACTCCCCACGCCGGTGCACCAACTTATTTTTAAAGTGCGCTACAGATCACAGCTTAGGAACCTAGTTCCTCCACACTGCCAAGTCCTCTCACTTGACATGTCTGTGATCATGCATGGACTCCTCCATGCTCGGCCCCATGGCCCACCCTTTTTGAAGTTATCACCTTCAACTAGGGTATTTGTTCCCCCGACGTGCCAATCTCGCTTGGCAAGTCCTCCGACCATTGTAACATGGTTCCTGCATAAGCGTGGAAGTCCTTGACCATCGACTTTCGTTCAAAGCCCTCTCTTTGAACACTCGGGAACTACTTCCCTAACCTTGATAGCCTTGCCTCATGGCAAGCTCCAAGACCACGCTTCTGCTGCGCCACTTTGATTTCGCGCATTCCATGAACCATTTACACTTGGCCTTTCTAGGTACTAAGCTACCTAGAATCGTCTTTGGGAACCTTGAAGGAACTCTGTCCCTCAGCTTGCTAAGGCCTCCCTTTTTGCAAGCCTTCAAAATGCCACATAGTCTAACATGGACAATTCCATATTTTAGACTCTCCATGGCATCACGGTTGTTAGCGGCAACACTCTCGAGCCCCCACTTGATTCTCCACTCCCAGCTGGCATAACCAACCTTGGTTATGCCCTTTGAATCCTATGGTTCGGTTCTATCCCCTTACTTCTTGCTTTTTGGCTTCACACCTTTCCTTTGGTCATTCTCCTCCAGACCAGGAGGATAGCGTTGCACTTTCTATCATGCTTTAGCAAGTATTCTTAGGGATGAACCTACCCAATAGCCCAGGGAGTGGTTCCTCAATCCGGGTATGCTCACCTTATAATCCCACACACTGGGATTACATTGTTGCTTATGGGCCTTTACATGCCCATCACTAGCCTTGCCAAAATTCCATTTTTGGCTTTGTCCAATTCGAGTAGACAGTCTTCTCCTGTCTCCGCCACCTTGGACATTTGGATAGCACCTTCTATCCATCATTTGCTAGGGACTTAGTCCCTTGGGCTTTATCCATTGCCCTCGCGACATCAAACACCACCTTCTGGTGTTCTAGAGTGTCTGGGTGTCCCAATGATGGCTTTCTTGACAATGAGTATTTCCTTTTATGACATTGACTTACTATATCGCAACACAAGCAACTTATCCCCCGTAAGGGTATATCCAACTTCCTTATGCCTCGGTCTCGGTCTCAGTCCCGGTCCCAGTCTCGGTCTCGGTCCCGGTCTCGGTCTCGGTCTCGGTCTTGGTCCCGGTCTTGGTCCCGACCTCGGACTCCATCTCGGGTCCTTCTCAGACTCCATCTCGGACTCCATCTCGGACTCCGTCTCGGTCCATCTCGGACTCTATCTCGGACTCCATCTCGGACTCCATCTCGGGTCCATCTCGGACTCCATCTCGGACTCCATCTCAGGTCCATCTCGGACTCCGTTTCGGTCCACCTCGGACTCCACTTCGGGTCCATCTCGGACTCCATATCGGACTCCATCTCGGACTCCACTTCGGGTCCATCTCGGACTCCAACTAGGGTCCGCCTCGGACTCCATCTCGGACACTTCCACGTGTCATGTGTTGGTCCTTTTTGGGTCCCTTTTTGGAGCCTCGCTTATTGCTCGCTTCATGCTTGTTCCTCAAGCACTTTGTTGGGAGTTCCTCTCCCGCTCTCAACATTCCAAGTCGGAGCTTTTAGTCCAAACGTGTTACGCTCGTTTGGCTTTCGCTTCAGCCACTACCACATGGCACCCTTCCGGCTCCACTTTGGGGCCTAGGGATTTTGTGTCTCACACACCACCCATAGACAAAGTTCGATGTCCTCATCGAACGGTAAACCATTTTTATAAAGTAACACCAATATGTATTACCCTTTCCATCCTTGGCACCCAACCAGTTTTTGTCTATGGTTTGACACCGAAGGCTCACCATGCCTTGTCAGTCCTCTAAGGAGCATAGTCCCTCCAACATAGAGACTCATTCAGCCACCTAGGGTGGTTTTCTCCCTTTTATTGGTTTAGTTCTCGCTAAACCTATTAGAGATACTTTCTCTAACTCAATTCCACTACTCATCCTCGAGTAGTTTTAGATTCCATTGACATAACCTTTGCACTTTGGAACTTTTAAGTTTTGACTTGTCAGAGTCAATTTCCTAAGTGTCTCTGACACCTTTCATTGCACATATTGTGCAACTTCACTTACCCACCTTAGGAAGTTCTTTACTTGAGGGCACAGTTCTGTACCTCTTATATTTCATGCCACCTTAGGCACTAAGTTCTAGTTATCATACTTTGTGCTAGGGCTATCTATGGCCCTATCATTTGGCTACTTTGCCACTTCCTCCTTGGAGCTTTCACCCTTTGAGCATTTGGGAATCCATCCTTGGAAGCATACTTCCCTTCTCACCATCCGTTAGCATCTAACACCTTAGTGTTCCATGCTTAACTTTGCCATTTGGTTTCCCTCCAATGATCTTCATGGCCCATACTTGGCTACTAGTCTTTTGCTCCTATCCTTGATTGTTGCACCTAGCAACATAGGATTGCTACCTCCATTCTCGAGGTATCTTTTCGGTTCCATAACAAACACTTTGTTTTGCCAAGTCCAAAGGGTGTTCACCCCTAGTACGTTTCTTTAACATTTTCTACTGTGGGCTCTATCCACAGCCCAACTTTAAGACCCTCCCATGGATCTCTTATAAAGATTACTTTCCTCATACTTACTATGCCATTACATTGACATAGCTCATTTCCCTTAAGTGTTCTTCCCACTTGGTCACCTTGACCAAGCCACACCATTATCAATAGTTCAAATCAACATTTTGAACTAGGAATCGTATTCCTTAACCCAAATAAAAACCTTGTCCTTGTTTTAGCCACAAGATCACCTAGTGATCTCATCTTGACCCCTTAACAGGTCTACCAATATGAACTAGGTCTTGCAAACCTTCTTAAATTGTTGACTATGACCCCGGGGGCATCCCCCACACTTGGCGATGCGCCCAAACCAACCCTTCCAGCCAAGGATCCATAGCAACTGAGACTGGGTGTCCCCATCTCATTCACCACGTCCTTGGTGCCCTTTGCACCAAAGTGTTCAAGTTAGATATGCTGAGCTTTCACTCTAAGCAATCTAACGTGCATCACAACTCCGAGGCATCCCCCACTTGGCGATATGCCGAAGCCAATCTCCTCATTGAGAGTCCATGACCACCAAAATATGAGTGTCCTCATATTCCAAACCATCACCACACCCTAGTGATTTGGGACTCGAACCCAAGCACTAGAGGGTTGGGACTCGAACCCAACCTCCGTATATGCATCTACGGACAGCATCACCCAGGATGCCTGGTGTGACTCATCACGCCAGTGCACCAACTTATACTTAAAGCATGCTACAGATCACAGCTTAGGAACCTAGTTCCTCCACACCTCTCACTTGACAAGTCTGTGATCATGCATGGACTCCTCCATGCTTGGCCCCATGGCCCACCTTTTTTGAAGTTATCACCTTCAACTAGGGTATTTGTTCCCCCCGACTTGCCAATCTCGCTTGGCAAGTCCTCCGACCACGGTAACATGGTTCCTGCATAAGCGTGAAAGTCCTTGACCATCGACTTTCGTTCAAAGCCCTTTCTTTGAACACTCGGGAACTACTTCCCTAACCTTAATGGGCTGTGGCTCGCCCGTTAACTTGATCCAGCTGTTGGCAGCCATCGGATCAAGTCAGGTTCTCTGTGAAAATTTTACTGTTGTCAGCCACATTCTAGAGAATGTGGCTGACAGCTACCAGGTTCTAGAGAACCCACCTGCCAGCCACCAGGTTCTAGAGAACATGGCTGCTGTCATCCAGGTTCTAGAGAACTTAGCTGCCAGTAACCACATTCTCCAATCAGACGAGATGCAATTGCTTTTTTATTTTTTAATCAAAGCAAGCTTGAATAATTCAAGCTCACTTTGGCTATGACCATTGACTACAATCACACAATTACTCATAGAACAGTGGTGAAATGTGCTGGTGATCGTCGGTAGTGCTAAAGCTTTTGCAGCTCTTGGATCTTTCGCAAGAGCTAAAAGTAGCTCATTGTTGTCAAGATCTACCAAATAACATCAAAAGTTAGAAATAAAGAATTCAAATCAAATAAACTTTACCTTTGTCTCCAGAAATGGATTCCTGCTACTTGCCATGCTCTGGCACAGGCTCTGGCACAGTCTCGTGCACAGTCTCGTGTTGCTTGTCGTGTCCACCTAAAATAAAGAGAAAACTAAATTGAAAGAAAAAAGGAAAGAAAGAATTTTCTTACCTTGCTGCTCTTCAATCACGTCCAGAACTTGGTGGTGATTCAGTTCCTGTTCGTGGATCTCTTCTCTTGGAGAAGGCTGTTGCTGCCCAGGACCACCTAAAATCGAGAAAAGAGAAAAGTCCATTATAAAGATTATAAAGTTTCTTACCAAAATTTTATTGTTGCTGCTCACGATTTTGAGTCTGTTAATTGTCATTTCCACCTGAATTGAAGAGTGTTAAACCTCCACAAAAAAAAAAGCTTTGAATTACCAAAAGAAACAAGATGGCAATCTTGAAGATCCAATGGATCTTCATTTAAAGGTTTACCAGCCTCATGGCACCGTACAATATACTCTGATGCTTTCCGAAATTCGTCCTGGTAAATTTTCAAAGGACCAGTACGATCATACCGGTTATACAGAACAGATGACATTGCCATTCTCCTTGCTTTCCCAAAGTGATCGTACTTGTTAAAAAAAGAGGCATTAATGACAAAATAGTTAGCAAAAACCTTACTGTTCCATGTTTTCCACCCTCTTGTGTCCTATCAGCTCCATACAGTCTTCCATTGGAGTGTTGCAAACACTCATAGTTGTAATTGCTGAATGCCGAATATCTTTCGCTGAAAGGCTAAAACCTGGAGAAAAAAAACTATGAGCAAACAAGAAAGCAGTTAGTTAACTACCTGTTTTTGCGGCAACCAATTTTACTACTTCAGAGATCTTATGCTCTCCTATCCGTGCCCCTCGACAGTACCAATTATCAGTCATGTTCAAACAATCATTACAAGCTAGGAAAAACGACTGCTTGTTCAAGTCCTCCCCATCACCAACTGCTAGATGCTTATCAAAAAAAAGCTTGAATGCCTTGTAGACTGAGGGAGTATCTATTTCATAGAGATCCACAACAGGCCACCGATCCATGTTCTTACAATTCATCAGATCCACTTGGTAGTTTTTGGAAACACGTTGGTTGAATCTGAGACAAAAAAAATTCTGATTAGAACCGACAAGAACAAAGAAAACAAATAAGAAACTACTCAACTGGATATAGCAACCAACAACATCCTCCAAAAGTGTAAAATCAGTGAATCGCAAGTCGTACAATTCCTTCCTCCCACGTACAAGAAAGAAATTCATGCAGAATAGTACAACTAACCGAAACAGTCCATTAGGACTGTGAGGTAGAAACTCTGGCAACGTGAGAACTGCCTTAAGCTCAGCCATCGACAAGTACACATGCTTTGACCCTATACTTGTTGGCCTTGTAGTTTCTAGTGCTGCTTTTTGAATTACATGGCTAGCAGTGTTCCTAGAATAAACAAACCAAACCAAACATATTAGAACACAAACCACAACAAAAAGAACAAAAAAAGCAAGATACCTTGCTGTAAGAAACCTTGGATCATTCAGGATGTCAACTTCTTCTTCTAAAACTCCTGTTCTTGCAACTCGGGCTTCTCTTGCCAGCTTCAATACTCGGTTAAAGCAAAAAAACATATCCCTCAGAGTTGCTGGAGGGTAAGGCTTCCCATCGTCTCTCAAAACATGCTTGTAGAACAATGCAAGCTGGTGGGAAAGCTCCTACAATAAGAGAAAGATTTAGTCACAAAAATCAAAAGAAAAAATAAGAAACAACCTTTGCAGGAAGTTCCTCAATCAGTCTCAGATCCTGTAAGGAAAATTCTGGGCCCTATGCCTCACGCCATGCATACAACTCCCGAGCGTACAGCCCAAGGAGTGAAGGGACAGGAGCCCGGAGTGACTTGGAATAGTCCTAGAGCAACCAACATCCCAATGCCAGGACCAGCACACAAAACGGAGCCAAACAAAGTCTGGTGCTATTTCGGCATACCGGTGGCCTAACGTGAGGATATAGGTACTCCACCAGTTAGCATGGAATGAAACTTGGGCTTAGACCCAAGCCGGATGTAGAACAAGGACAGGCACGCAAGCGGGAGCTAGACTATGCCTCGGGTTGGTCGGCCATGCCCGACCTACCCACTATCCCTACTATACATTTGGAACCCCCCACAGCCCCCCCCCCCCCCCCCCCCCTTGAGGAACACAGTTTGGGCTTTCACCCCAAGCCTCTCTTAGTATCAGGAGTTAGTCTCTGGGATAAGCTCGAAACTTATTAAATATGGAATGTCCCTAGATTGTGAATTTGGACACGGGACGAACACCATTGTGTATAGGCCAATCTCTACATTCCGTAGATATGCCAAACGAGCAAATCTGGACACTTTCCATAAATAGCTTTTGGGACCAAAATGAGACTAACACAAAGGGCATGATAGTGAGGGTGTTTGGCAGACACGGTAAGCTATCATGTAGCGATATTAAGGGACTAATCTCAATACGCGAGGGTTCTTGTCACTAGCAAGTGCAAGATAAAACGAAACTGGAACTCCTTACCGGGCTAAGTATGCTTAGCTTATAACACGTAGGAATTCCATTCTTATGCTCGTCCGGTCTAAGTACACTCTAAATGCCCAGTTAACTCCACTAGCACAAGAGGGACTGATAAAGGGACCAGCAATACCGACCTCTTGCCATCATGGCAGTAAGGTAAGAGTGTCCGTAAGGACTGGTCGACAGGTAACTTTCGATACCCAAAGTCACATGCGCGACAAGGACAGTTGTGTTAATAGCCACTTCCAAGCCACTAGAGTGTGCCAAGTCAAGGGAGATGATGTTGCTCTAGGATATGCAGATTTTGCGCCTATCAGAGAGGATTGATGGGGAGAGATTTCATAAGTTATTTCAAGAGTCAAAATCTAGAGATCTATTTACTTGAAGATTTCTTTCCCACAATGGTGAGCCTCTCATCTATTGAATATTGCTAGAACATGGCCGCCACCTAATCTTTGTCCAAATAAAAACATTGCGACTATACAACTTCATTCTAGTTTCTGACACATATGCTTCCATATATGGTGATCAATTGACCAGATTGATAAATAGACTCCTCAATGAATGGTGTGGGAACAACGATTTTCAAAAGTTAGAACACTATTTAGGAAATGGTGGCAGGAAAGTTGATATTCTTCAACAAGTACAAGCAGAGCAGCAGCAGCAGCTAGCACAGTAGCAACTGGCAAGCAGCAGCAATAGCAACATTGGCAGCAGCAGCCACACAGCTGGTAGAGCAGCAGCAGTAGCAGCTAGCACAACAGCCATGCTAGGTATGCTATCGCGAGAGAAGGCAGCAGTAGTTGCAGCAACTGGCGGAGCAAGAGTAGCAGTAGCAACAGACAAAGCAAGAGCAGCAGCAGCCACGCCAGGTATGCTATCGTAGGAGAGGGCAGCATCAACAACTGTAGTAGCAACTAGAGTAGGAGCAACAGCAGCCCTCGCTAGAGGTTGTAGGTTCAATGCTTGCATAAGAAAGAATTACCAAAACCATGCAACCCTAAGATCAAAGGCGGTGTTGTTTCTTTATTGTTTAGAATTTTTCAATATTCTTGGTTGTTAGGGCTTATTCCAAAGAATACAAAAGGCACTATCAATTGAGCAGACGCAGTAAGGAACATAGAGTTAAGAGATTCAAGACTTGCATATTACAAGCACTTGCTCATGCTCTTCTAAGAGCTATTAGTGCTACTTTCCATAGACCTATTTTGGAGTGGAGCGAAGTGCTTAAAAATCCCTTTCCTCTACCTCCCTTCTTTGAGAGCAAGCGGAATTTAATCAAGAGAGTTTTAAACTACATAAAGAACTTTTAAACTACTTTAAAAATGGTCAAAAATTTTCTGAGTGTAAATAAAGTTGTTTTCGGTTGTATTGGGAGAATGATATAGTGTCCCTTTTCAAAGTGGAGAGACAGTAATATACCCATTAGAGAGGATTGATGGAGAGAGATTCAAAAAGTTACTTCAAGAGTTGAAATCTTGAGATTTGTTTGTTGCTCATGATGGTGAGCCTCTCATCTATCAAATGTTGCTGGAACATGGCCACCACCTAATCTTTGTTCAAACAAAAACATTGCGACTATACAGCTTCATTTTGGTTTCTAACATATATGCTTCCGTATATGATGATCAGTTGACCAAATTCATAAATGGACTCCTCGATAAACAATGTGGGAATAATGATTTTTAAATGTTAGAACACTATTTAGGAAATGGTGGTAGGTTCAACGAGTGCAAACAAAGCAGTAGCAACAGCCAGCACAACAAGAGCCAGTGCAACAGCAGTAGTAGTAGCATTGGCAGCAACAGCTGCACAGCTGGCAGAGCACCAGTAGCAGCAACCAGCACAACAGCCACGCCAGGTATGCTATCACGGGAGAGGGTAGCAGCAGCCGCAGTGGGTGTAGTAGCCACGCCAAGTATGCTATCGTGAGAGAGGGCAGTAGCAGCAGCAGCAGCATCATCGACAGCAATAGCTGCTAGAGCAGGACCAGCAGTAGCAGTAGCCCTCACTGGAGGTCGCAAGTTCAATACTTGCATGAGAAAGAATTACCAAATCCACGTAGATCAACAGCCACCCTCTTTCTTTATTGTTTAGGGTTTTTTAGTGTTCTTGGTTGTTATGGCTTATTCCAAAGAATACAGAAGGCACTATTGATTAAGTAGATGCGGTAAGGAGCATAGAGTTAAAAGATTCAAGACTCACACACTACGAGCACTTCCTTACGTTGCTCACGCTGCTCGTGTTCTTCTAAGAGCTATTGGTGTTGCTTTCAATAGACCTATTTTGGAGTGGAGCGAAGTGCCTAAAAATCCCTTTTTTCTGCCTCCCCTCCCCTCTCTGAGAGCGAGTGGGATCTAATCAAAAGAATTTTAAACTACATAAAGAACTTTTAAACTATTTAAAGAACAATCTAAATTTTTCTAAGTGTAGATGAAGTTGTTTTTGAGAGTATTAGGAGAATGAAAATAGTGTCCCTTTTCAAAGTAGAGAGATAGTGATATACCCATTAGAGAGGATTGATGGGGAGAGATTTGAAAAGTTACTTCAAGAATTGAAATTTAGAGATCTATTTGCTTTTGGATTTCCTACCCACGATGGTGAGCCTCTCATCTATCGAATGTTGCTGGAACACAGCCGCCACCTAATCTTTGTCCAAACAAGAACATTGCAACTACATAGCTTCATTTTGGTTTCTGACACATATGTTTCCGTATGTGGTGATCAATTGACCAGATTGATAAATAAACTTCTTGATAAATAGTGTGGGAACAACAATTTTCAAAAGTTAAAATACTATTTAGGAAATGGTGGCAAGAAAGTAGACAGTCTTCAACTGGAGTCAGAAAAATTTCCACAACCTATACAGGAAAAATAGAGACTCTAAAACAATAAAGGAGTCAAGATTATCCTCATATAGTTGAGGCTGGTGCTCATGAATTTAAAATCAAAATTATTAACCGTGGGAGGTCAAATACAGAAGAGGATACAAGTCTTTGAAATGGTAGCCGGAGTTACTTTTTATAAATGCTGGAACAAACCCAAGGAGTGGAAGGTGTATTTAGAGGATGAGTCGGTATTTCTCATCATATGGACGGATAGTCTTAAGAGGCAAAGGTAACCCATGGAAAATGAAAAACAATTAAGTGTTGGAATAATACTTGCAAAGATGGTCTTTGTGAGTAGAATAGGAATACAAGAAGATGTATTTTAGTGAACTGGCACCTCAAAAATAGCTAAGAGGCTAGGACCTTATAGATCGTCGAATTAGCAAAGTTCAAAAAGCTAAATGACTCGAGTGGAGTCAAGGAATGATCTTAAAGGATTGGTGGAAGCATTTGGACTAGAGTGTGTTGTACCCTACAAAGGATAGGGAGGATCATAAGATCCAACTATAAGAATAGTGGGTATCTCATTGAGGGCAGAATGTGTTATATTAAAGTCATGGGAAAAGTGTTTCCGGAAAAAAACAACTTTGGCATAGAGTTGTATGTGAACACTATGGTGTAGTACTAACTAATAGTTGGCATGCAAAATAACTACTTTGGTCTTGGCAAAGATCTAAACACAAGTGGGAAGTGTCATAAAGGTAAATTTGTAAAGCCAATAGTGTGGAGACACTAAATATGCAAAAGTGTGATGCCTTGAGGTCAAGTTAATAGGTTTAAAAAAAACCCCTTACCAAAGGAATTCGAATGGAAATAGGAATGGCATAGCCTAAATTGGAAGGTATGTGGTTATAGTGTAGTGACCCAAATAATGATAAGGGTGTGGAAGCACTAGCAATGAGTTATAAGACTTGATAACTATGAGAAAACTAAGCAAACCATGCAAAATAATTGATTGGATTAGTAAAAGTTAACTATCTAAGACTTTTTATTCAGATAAGGAGGTTAGATGTACCCCTCCGGGGAATAAATTACTCATGTTAAGATATAATAAGTCAATGTCATAAAGGGAAATGCTCATTGTCAAATAAGGTCATTATTGAGACACCAAAACACTTTAAAACATTAGAGAGTGGTATTTGGAATCATGAGGGCATTATATAAGGCCCAAGGGACTAAGTCCTTAGCGAATAATAGATAGGAGGTGCTATCCAACGTCCAAGGTTGCGGAGATAGGAAAAGTTTATCTATTTAAATTGGATAAAGCCAAAAATGGATTTTGGCATCGCTAGCAATGGGCATAAAAAGGCCCATGCATAGCAACATTAATCCCAGTGTGTGGGATTACACAGTGAGCATATCCAAATTGAAAAACCACTCCTTAAGTTATTGAGTAAATTCATCCCTAAGAATACTTGCTAACGCATGGTAGAAAGTGCAAAACTACCTTTTTAGATAGGACGAGAATAACTAAATAGAAGGCGTAATGCCAAAAAGTAAGTAGTAAAGAGATAGAGCCTAACCATAGGAATCAAAAGACATAACCAAAGGTGGTTATGCAAATTGGGAATGGAGAATCAAATGGGTGCTCGAACATGTTATTATTAACAATCGTGATGCTATCAAAAGTCTAAAGTATGGAATTATCTATATTAGACTATATGGCAATTAGAAAGCTTGCAAAAGGAGAGCCCTTAGCAAGCTAAAGGACAGAGTTCCTTCAAGATTCCCAGATAGATTAGTACCTAAAAAAACAAGTGCAAATGGTTTATAAAATGTGTGAAATCAGAGTGGCCCAAGTTGCTTGGTCCTTTCGGCTTGTCAATCAACTGCTTTTGATGGGTTGTTTCAAGTATGCTATGAATTATTTTGTTCTTTTCGTGTGTTTAAGGTTTCTTTTGCATGCTTGCATTGTTGCTTGAGCTTCAAACTTCACCATGGAACCTTTCTTTCCCTGAGCAATAGATCTTCCATCTTGCTATTTCTATTTTATCATGCACCTACAAGAGAGAACATAAGGTATACACTTTTGTACCTCTTTTACAAGGAAAGTCCATTCCACCTTGGCCGCTTTAGCGCTAGAGCTGCAGCCTTCGTAAAGCTGCTGCCATGGCCGCCTAAGTGCTGCAGCTATAGCCTTCGTGTTGCAGCCAGAGCCAGACCATGGCTGCCTTTACCGATCCTACTCTTTTCTGGTGGATTCAGCATACAATTGAGCAGGAACATTGGCTTCAGCTATGAGCTAGTATTGATTAATTACCACTCTTCTTCCTTCAAGCAGAGTCAGAAAAATTTCCACAACCTATATCTTATCTGCGCTTTTGCCTACTCCTGGGTTTCTCTACCCAAACTCAAATATGTATATCAGCTTGGTTTACCTCTCTATCCACCAGCTTTATTGCGAGAGAAGCAACAAAAGGTTCCTGATTTTTGCTTGCTTGGAGGGGCCCTCTATACACACGGCCTCAGCAGCCTTCTCTTCCGATCCATAGCAGACATGACATTCGTTTTTTTCACTTTTTAGGACGCTTTTCAGTGCAGGTGATAGCTAAACAAATCTTGCCAGCCATACATCGGGACACAGCAATCTACACACGGAATGCTTTCTTTTGCAAAGAGCTACATCCCATGCCTTCTTTTCAGCAACTCTTCAAACGGGGATTTGATTATGTTGGTTCGATTTCTCCACCATCTTGGAGGACCATCAATTCGTTGTGATGGACTTCTTCACCACAGGGCCAAAAGCAATTGTGTGATGTTGTATAATCCTTATCCACATACGAACTGGAGAGAAGTGACGTCAACTTGATATAGTTTAGGTTTAATTTTAAAGTGGCATGAGTCTTTCCAACTTGACTGCTTATAGTTTCAAGTTGAATCAAATGATACTTGTGCTTCCTTCTCATCAATACTGTGGGGCATGCGGCAGTGTGATCTTTCTTTTCTTTAGCCTGGGTTCTGGCCTCAAGGCTGCATTGATCTCGTTTCTCCCTGAAGCTTACAACAGAATCATTCAAAAAACAACAGTTTAGAGTTTCTCAAGGTTCTTTTCATATCATCATTTTTTACACTGTCATTTCCTATCATTTAGTGTTTAGTAGTTTCCAGGTGGCATTGCTGTTGATACCCCAACTACTTCATTAGTTTTTTCACCTTCATTTCACACCATTTTTAGGACACAAGGCCATGACTTCAGCAAATATGTTCTTCCAACAAAACTTAGCAATAAAAATGGACAAGAAAGTCACACTGCTACTACTTTTCTTTTCTCTGTGTTCTAATGTTTCTTTCTTTTAGTCTCTTCTCTCTCCAGCAAATCACGTCAGCTATTTTTGGGGCTGTGTCACCTTTTCTTGCAAGCAGTCCATGGGTACTCTTTGCACCACAGTCGCTTGATCCTCCAAAGTGAGACATTCCTTAAATATCCAGCCCAAGCCCAAGCCCAGAGCAAAATGGGACTTGAGTGATGCATTTGGAGCTATTTAGCATGGAGTTTGATTACAGTAGAGAGACTAGATGGTTTAGGGTGCCCTCCTTTCAACACCAGGGCCAGTGGAATAAACTTCAAGGCTTAATTAATTTTCTTTTCGTTTTCTTTCTTTATTTTAGAGATTTTTATTCAAAGTGTTTGATGCTAAATGCAACAAATTATTCTTAAAGTCTTAGAAAGGTTCACACCCTTGTTACTGGATGATGAATGGGTCAAACGAGTGGGAAGAGAACTTGTCTTCTGGATTAAGGTCCTTAAGGTACATGAAAATCGCATGTTCAAATCCTGCTTGTCATGTGCTGTTTGGACAGTGCTATATGGGGTTTATTAGCAGCTTCTTGTCTCTCTTTTTCCAGTGCCAAAGTCTCCTAAGCTCTTGCCTTAATCTGTTGCTCCTTGCTGAGTTGGTCTGCTGCGTGTCATAAAGCAACCTCTTAAGAGAAGCCAGAAAGGTGTTGGCTCTTGTACATGGATTGGAACGCCCACAAAATGCTGGTGGTAACTAAAATTTATTGTTAAAAGACTCAACTTGGCCATTGAACTGGGGATATTTGCTGCTGCTCCAGACGTCCTGGATGTCAGGTTCCACCACCAGGGATTCAACTGCCCTTCCAATGAAAGCACCACCATGGTCAAACACCAAAATTGCTGGAAGTCCAAAGCAACAAGCAATGTGTTTATAGAAGAACTTTGCCATTGAAATCTGCTGCTATGGATGGAAGAGGAAGCGAGCGACGGGACAACAATGCTGTTGCTGTCGCTCTTCAAGGTCGTCCTACAAGTGCTGTCGCACAATCCTGGGCCACTTTCCGGTTGCATTTGGTTTTTGCAAATGTGACATTAACTTTTAAACTACCTAGTGTAAAAGTCCAAATAATATTATAGACATAAGCACGTGATGGTGGTGGTGATCGAAGATTTTTTAAAGTACTGTTTGAAAAAACATGTGAAGCTTACGTCAAGCCAGACGCATAAAGCCAAGGTTCGATTCCCAGTGTCATTAGTTTTAGGGCTTTAGGCAAGGGGATACCAAGAGTTTGGTGCAAAACAGAGGAAAGAAAAGGATGTTCAGACATACTTATCAGACAGGATGCCTGTCCATTTTGTACAGCCTAAGGTGAGCTTCTTGTGTGGAGCGCTGACCTGTGGTTGGCCACCACTACAGGGGGAAGAATCCTCTCCAGTCGTGGAAGAGGCACGGTGAGCAGCACTTCGTGTATGGATTGACGGGAAATGAGTGGGGGTGTATAAGTGCGTATGGCGACGTTAAGAGCGTCCGGGACGAGGACATTGAGTCCTATGTTGTGGAGATTATGGGGGCGAACGTTCAGATGACAGGCATCACTTGTCCACGGGACAATTCTGACTCTCTCGCCGTCCGGCTCCCTTTTTTCGTTATGATCGTCAAGAACATGAGGCGCTACTTCATGTTTGAAGTCGAGGTGATTGACGACAAAAACAAGCACCGCCGCTTCATTGCCTCCAATTTCCGGGTAAGAAATGCCCAGAGCTGGAATGCGAAACATGTGTTGGCTTTTGTTGGCAGACAGCAACTCGCGTTGGTCAGTCCGTGTGCTTGATGCCTGTCACCTTGGACGTTGGGTGGAACCAGGTGCACTTCGACCTTCCTGGCTGCACCCGACTTGCCTACGGTACCAACTACAGGGAAACCGTCCGAGTGAGGGTGTTTGCCAACTGCAGAATCCGCTCGGTCTTTTTCTGCGACCGAATATATGCCGAGGAAATGCTGCCGCCCGAGTACAAGCTCTTCCTGCCAATTCAGGTAAAACCCTAAGTTCAGCTTCACCCTTCCTGGACTGGTACTTTGCAACAGCGAAAGCAGTGGATTGATCTACCCAGCCAACAGCAGACAGCTGCATACGTACCGCACTCCAAACGTTGTGTGGCTTAATGGCCTTGGCACCATCAGTGGTCGATGTTCATGGACAGAGCAACTCCTTGCAGAACCCAATGTGACGTGTGTTCCTCAGTAGCCAAGTCCGCTTCAAAGATGAGTCCCACGCCCATAGCGTTTCGGCGTGCCTGTGTGACGTAAACAGGCGTTCTAAACGTGTTTTGAAGCTTGATCTTGCTGGCCTCCATGGGAATGATTTCCAATATTGGCAGCTCGACAACGAGCTGCTTTGGATCCTGGGGAGACAAGCAACGTTAACGCTTCTCTTCCACTGGCATTGACTAGTACCTGTCGCTTGAGAACAGACTTTTCCAGATCCCAATTGGCGCCTTCCAGATAGAGGCCAGTGACATAGCATCCATGCTTGGGCTTCTCCGGGACTTCGTCAATGCTTTTGAACTTGGTCACCTGTGGAGCATCTTTAAATGACAAGCAAGGAAACGGTATAAACAAAAACCTTAGTGTAGATAGTGGACTTGTCTAGTGGCCAACCGCGGTCCCTGCACGCAGTTTGAACAAGTGCAGCAATATATGTTTCGGGAATCTGGAGGCCCGACAGCCACATAACTTTCGGCTCCCCGTGCTCGGCCCAATTTTTGTATTGTTGATCTCGCCGCAACAACCACACAATCCAAGCTGCAAGCATCTTCTCTGTCTGTGTTTTATTTTTTATTTAATTTCCAATGCATTAACATTAACCAACACATCAATAATACGGATTTCATAAAACTGATCTATACCTGAGAGGTTAGCCTGCGCCACATGTTTGGAAGCTGCCCATTAAACAAAGCCGTTGAGAGCTCGTCTAAGTCTTTGCTCATCCCAATCTCTCCAGCAAGTGCTTTCTTGAGCTTTCGAAGGCTCTCTGCCATGCTGGTAATAAGCCTGTTCCATCTCTCAATCTCTTGGAGAAGCACAACCTGGGGCAGGCATCCAAGAAGTTGACAAACAATAGCAGGCGTGACTTACTTGCACGGGCGTAGGGACTCCAAATCTTTTCTTCAACACAGGAAGATCAAAAGGCACAGGAAGCTTGGACAGTATATCTGACGCCACACGCTCAATGATGTCCTCTCTTCTCACCCCGCCTCCACTGTCCCCTCCACGAGGCTGCAAGTCCACAAGGTCTTTCCACAGGTTCTTGGTCGTATTGGTGTAGTAGCTAATATCGGCATTGGAGTGGAGACCAAACACCTCGGGCGTCTGGACTATTGGTAGGGAGTCAATGTAATTGGTGTAGTTCTCTCTGGGCCCTGCAGGAGGAAGCATATAGCCAGAGCCATCGTCTTTGGTGTAGAAAAAAAAGGGATGGAACTTGTCAAACAAAAAGTCCCCCAGGTATTCATCCAGGTAAGTTTTCAAGATCCTCCGGTCGAACGAGTCCGAGACACGCCCTCCATACATGGCCTCACCAATGAGGTAGCGCAGTGTGCCCCATGGTATGGTGTCATCCCTGTTATCAAAAGCCTTCCGCAGGTACGTGGAGATGAGCAACAGGCTGTGCAGGAGGGAAGGCGAGGGGTTAAGCACGCGGAGCTAGCGCAAGAGCTCACCTGATGCGAAGGTCGGTCTCGTTAAAGTCGTAAGGGACATTCCATCCAAGCCTTCCGTACTTTCGCCGCTCTTGCACCACTGCATGGAAAAAGGCAACCACAAACACCTGCACATATACAGAAGTCAAGGTGGCGTGAGTGCCTCCGAGAGCAGAGACCCACCTGCGGACGGAAAGCAAAGTGTGGGCAGTCGGCAAGCATCTCTTCGGTGATTTTGGCGTACGATGATCTCAAGTTGAGCTTGAGCCCGTTGGGGGGCTCCGTGACAACTTTTAAGCTGCGCTGCAGGATGCCAAGAGGGAAAGTTGACGTCGGCTCCGTGGTGAGCCAAAGCCTGAATTCGGGATGAGGTTTGGTTATCTTCTCAAGGATCTTTTCCAGCGTCTTTAGCCAGGACGGGAGCAGATGACAATTTTGAAGCATGACCCACAGGCCACGGCCGGAGCCCGACTCGAGTGTCTCTGCAGCCTTTGGTCCCATTCCCTGTCCCAGAGCCATATACTTGAGCTTTGCACCGGGCTTGAACCCCATCTCCTCTCCCAGGTTGAAAACGTCGAAAGCTGGGTCAGCACCAGGGCTAAGAATGAAGACGATGGGCGTCAATGCCGAGCTTTGGCGGTGTATGCTCTTGTAGTCGAGCACCGGAGGCATGACATACTTCTCTCCCATCCGGTCTATCACGTACCGCTGCAGTTTTACAAGTGATCAAACACATTGATCAGCAAACAATTAGCATTCAATTTTACCGTGACAGCGACCGTGATCCTGTCGATGCGGAAGCAGCGTAAGACGCAGAGCTGCTCGAAAAAATTGAGCTTGTCGTTGAATTGTCCTGGCATGGATGCCATCTCTGGCTGATCTTCCTCGTACCATGACTTCCATTCCGGTCCATTCTCCGAGAAGTGGTCTACTAGAGCTTTGAACTGCGGGCCCAGTTCCATCATCTCCACGACATCTTGCCACCCCGTGTCCGGAAACCAGTCGTGTGGCTTTGGCAGGGGCGATTTCTCCAGAGACAGGTTGCCCTTGAGGAAGAACTGCAGCTGAGCATGATCCATTCCTGTCTCCCCGTCGATGATCCTGGTTGTTAGCTGGAAGGAGAGCATCAACTTGTGCTTCTCAAACAGCCCCGTGCACGTATAATTGTACACGTCGTATGTGACAGCGTCGATGATGCTGCGTAGCCGCGAGTCTAGTGTGGGTTCCCGCTTGCTCGTGGCCAGTGATATCTCAAACACTTGCAGAAAGGATGCCAGCGAGTACTCGTACATGTTGTTGATAGCGGAGAGGCCGGACATGACAAAAAAGAGGATGGCACCCCTCTTGGCAGCCGGGGAGTACCTCAGGCGCAGCTGCACACGAACCAGAAAAACTCACACGGTTCATGGACACAACAACTTACTTGATCGATCTCTACGGACGTATCCCGGGCGAGCTTCAGCTTGTGAGAAATCTCAGATGCTTTAAGCTTCGTGTTTTCCAAAGTTGTCAGCAGTTCCTCGTTATCCAGAATGTTACCCGTGGCATTGCTTAGTTCCTGACAGACCGGAGTGGAAACGTAGTCATTGCAGGTTTACGTAGGAACGAACACCAGGCATACCCGCAGAAGGGTGTCTTCGAGCTGTTTCAACAGCGCCTTGTTCTCGCTAGTGTCCCTCACAAGCTCTTCTCTTTGTTCCTCAAGGTCGGGCCTTTCATGTCTTACCTGTTGAAAAGCAAAAAAGAGCGTCAAACTCAGAAAGCTGGCCAGCTTACCGTGGCATTTAGCAGCTGCGACTGCAGCCCTTGTTCAGTGACGCCATAGTTGATGATCATAGTCTTTCCGGATATTTCTGGGCCATAGTGAGGATTCGGAAGCTTGCTTATTAAATACAGCCTAAAGTTGTCGTCCTGTTTGCCGCTGAACAGTCAAAAACAAATACAGTCCTGAAAGATTGTATGCTCACCCATTCGACGTCTTTATCCCCGAGCTTGACACTTTTCCTTGCACCACCAGCAGATGTGAATGTTCTTTCTAGAACCGGATCTATGACAGGGTCTATATACTCGTCCACATTTTCAAACATAAATGGAAACCCATACTGGATTGCCATCTCAAGCTGCTTCACGAAGTCAGAGTCATTGAAGGTTTTCACCCGGCCCTCAAGCTGCTTGCCCTCCTTCTTTTTTATCCAGGATATGGCCTGCTCAGCAAAAGAAGAGTTGGGTTGGAGTTATCACAGAACTATACCTGCATTTGCGGGTCAATGCAAAGAGGAAAGCGGGACGCCCTTGTTGTGAGTATGCCGTTCTGAATGGAGAGCTCATTCGATGGCAATCCCTCGCTGTTCCACTTGCTAATCTCAACTTCACTCGTTAAAATGTTCTCTAGGAAGAAAGGGTCTGTGCAGGGCAACTCTTTGGATTGGATGTCTGCGAGCCAGATATTTTGAATGAGCTCCGTCCTGTAGTCCATTGTAAATGCCCCGCAGTAGCTGGGAGAAAACGATAGTAGTAAGTCAACATAACCGTAGTAGCATAGTCATAGTTTAGCCAACCTCAGGAAGCTGGAGGTGACGAGGCAGTCTCCAATCAGCTTGACTCGAGCAACAGCAAGGTCGCCCAGTTCTCGAGACCATCTCTCGTGCTCCGAGCCCAAGCCAACGATAAGACGTTCAGCAGCGCTCAAACGCTTCTCCATGAGGTCTGCTTTCTCCTTAAGTGCTTGCTGCTCTGCTGTGTTGTCCTCAAATTGCTTCTGAAGAGCTCCCAGCTGCTCAGAAAGCTGCCTCACCTGCGCTGGAGTAAAGGGGTGCTTAAGACACAAAGAGTGCCTTTTTAAAAACAAACCTCCTCCTGTATTTTCTCAAGCTCCTTCTGTGCATTCTTTAGATTCTTTTCGGCATTGGCAACCGCCAGCCTCTTGGGCTGCACAACTTTTGCTACTCCGTAGTAGTTTACCATGGCAACCACCCAGCGGAGAAGCCCAGCTCCGGCTGTGGAGATGGTACTTAGTTCGTCCAAATTCAGTTTTGGATCCTTAAAGTACTCCTTGAGAGCTCGCATCTGAAAAACACCTCTTAGCTGTGCATGCTCGTTAGGAGACGGGGAGCGACAGAGCAACCTGCTTCTCGGTAATGGAATCCTTGTCAAACTCCATTAACGTGGCCAAAAACCTGTTGTCAGCCATCATTGCCTTGGCACCTTTCCAAGACACGTCTTTGATGCCCCTCAAGATAACCACGCACTCGCACACCTGTATTTTGGCCCTAGTAATCTCACATCACACTAGACAAACTGTTACCTTTTGCACTAAGATGTGAGGCTTGGCAAAAGATCTAATCTCGGTAATCTCTTCCTTTTTAAGACTGTTAAGAGCTTCAGCAGCTGCTTCCAATGCTGGTAGTGCTTCCGCAAGAGCTACCTCTGCCTCTGCTTTCTCTCTTGTTATAACCTCACTTTGCTTGGATAAATCCACGGCTTTATCATTTGCAATGCCTTGTTTTGTCTGAACTTCAGCGGTATTCTTGCTGTAGGTTAAATATGTTAGCCTTCAGTGCATAAGGCAAGCATCCAGTGCATAAGGCAAGTTTACCTGATAACTTCGAGAAGCTCGTTACATTCCTTTGTCTTGGCATCAACAACAATTTTCGCGTCCGCAAGAGTAATCTAGGAAATAGCAGATTATAGGAAAAAGTTTGTAATAGCTAGAGGTAGTGTACCTGCATTTCTGAAACCTCAACCTTCGCCTGAATCAGTTTTTGGAGACCACCATTCAGTCTTGCAGCCATATCACTGTTATTAACCCTGGTCTTGACGAGTGACGTCCGATAGTTTTCAATAAAGTCGAGAAAGTTTTTGGGCGTGACATAGTTGTAGCGACGCATTTTCTGCTCAAAATCTGCACTCACCTTGCACACAGATTGGTGAACCATGACCATATGCTCTAGGATATGGGGGCGCAGGTTTTCCGGGAGGTCTAACTCCGATAGAAAGACCGTAGCCACAGAGTGAAGTGCTTCTTCAGGCCATGGTGTTAGCCAGTTTATGACACAATTGTTCACCTGAGAAAATATAAAACAAATGTGTTGGCAAAGAGAAAAAAAAATAAAAAGACGGTATACCATGCCAGGAAAGTTCCGGCAGCGGGTTCTCAAAAGTTCACCAACTGGAGACATTGCCAGAGTGACATGCAAGTTACTGCGACAACGACGAATGAAATAGGCCCAGCAGTTTTCTTTGGTGTCGACGATTCCAGCAGCGGTGACAGCATCTCGAATCTGCATTGGAAAAGGTGAGGACAGTATGACCGGGGTACAGCATCGAACTTACCTGGCCGATCATTCCATCCTTCTCGTCTTCCGCAAAGAGTGCGGGTACCATTCCAGAAGTTAGCATGTTGTTTACAAGCTCAAGAAAACCCTCGTCCACAACGTGAGCATCCGTGAAAAGGAAGACTACAGAACGGTTCTCAACGCCTAACATGTTATACAGCTTCTTCAAGTCCTCCCTAAATGTTTCCTCGTTGTATCCCCTGGTGAGAGTTATCTCAAAAATGCTGCATCCAGCCGTAAAGGCGGACAGCTTAGACAGGCTCTTCTTGCCACTGCCGCCAACGCCGACGAGGAGCGCATTCCCCTGGAGCAAAAATATTGGCAAGGCGGCTAAAATCTTGTTACGCATACCTGATCAAGGCGCATGATCCGATGAATATGCGTCAGCTGCTCCAGCGCGTCCTTGAACATGACAAGGTTCATTCTCTTGTTCGTCAAGCTGTATTCGTCCAGGATTTCTTCAAATATTGGCTTCACTACGTCGTAGTTTCCAACGTCTACGTACAGCCGCACTTCACTTTCCTTGAGAGCATTCTTGTAGTCACCATACAGGATAGGATTGCCCGCAGCATAGTCTGCTGAATTTGGCAGCTTGAGTTTGAGTAATTCCGTGAGCTTACTCTGTTTATGCAATGAGAGCTGGCCAATGAGCATGAAAAGTACGACAGCATATCGTACCTCCACAATCTCTTTGTCTTTGTCAGAGATGAGACGATCGTAGAATATTCTCAGTGCCTCGTTCCTCCATAGCCGCACCATCTGTGCGGCATTCTTCGTTGTGTCCGGGGTAGACAGGCAGAGTCCCTCGTATATCCTGCTTAAATCTCGTAGATTAAAGATGTAGTGGAAGCGCGATGGTGTTGGAGGAAGCCGATCAAGTATGTAGTTGTAGAGTTCCAAGGTGACGTCCGTTATGACTCGAGTACTTTCCTGCAGATACCACACAATGTTGAGGTATAGAAGAAGCAAAAATTGACGTTAACCTTAATGTCGGACGCAAGATTCTTGGCATGAGCCTCCAAAATCGCGTTATAGATATGCGACAAGGATTGGTTGGATGGAAACTGTATTTCCAGGACGGCAAAGAGGGAGATAAATCGCGGGTCGACGTTGTTCCTTGCACCTCCAGGACGACCCATTGCGCCAACATACTGCACGTCTTTGATAAATTTCCAGTTGAGTTCCTTCCTGCCAAGGCAAGAAGCATCACTCCTCCTGGGCTCACAAAAGAGACAAGACACTTACCCTCGGTCGTATATACCTCCACGCTCAATCAGCAGCTTCAGCATTGCAATCGGCTGCTGAGTGCCATACGTGTCAACTCTAGGCATGTTCATGTCATCAATAAACAGTATCATTTTCCTTCCAACCGGAGGCCCGTAAATGTCCTGCGGGGAGACCCAGGCATCGCTGAATGAACATTAATGGACAGGTAGAGAGCAAGCACCTTGGTTCGTTTCTCTAGCACGTCTTCAACTGTAATCTGCACGTCCATGGATGTGGTGCGACTGCTAAAATTCGAGCTCAATATCAGCGTGCTAGCTGTCGGCATAGCGCCCAAGTACTTTTGTATGATAACGGTTTTAGCGGTTCCACTTTCTCCAACGAAGAGAACAGCTTTGCCAATCTGCACGGAGTGAAACTTCTTCGGCCACAAAGTCGTGTAAAAGAGTAGCAAGCTTACCTCCATGAACGTGTCCAAAAGCCACGTTGATCTCACGGTATCTATGGTTGGAACCAAGATTTTGCTGAACACGCGATCAGGTGGAGGCTGCAAAGGAAGTATGCATTAGGTGAAAACAAGCATACTGAAAAAGTAATCTACCTCATATTCCGGGACCATCAACTTCCATGATCGCCACTGAAGATCCTTGACACTGAAGCAGAAATCGTAGAGGGATTCTGCCGGCAATTGTGTGGGTGGGAGGGGATCCGCAGTACTTGTTCCAATTAGAGCCAAAGACTTGATAAACTTGTCGAAACGCTCTCGGTCACGGACTGCCGTGGACTGCACCACTCCGGCCCCTATTGACCATACCAAAGAAAAAATAAACACAGCCTCAAGCACCTGCAAAATGCGAGAGGCGTAAACACTAAGGTCCAGATTCCTTGCATCTTTAAAACCTGTGGAGCAGTGATAGGCTGATCTTCTGTCAGGATAGCTTCTAAAAGAGTGCACAGTTGAGCAGCCATATTCAGGTTGGTAAGCGGAATTGTCAATACCAAAGGAGAAGTGATTTCCTCCTCTGTTACGCCTTCCAGCACGTATTCTATGCATTTTTGTGCGTACTTCTCGAATAGTTCGTTCAATAATCCAGCTTCCTCCTTACTGTAACATCTAGAAATGTAAATCCAGCCAAACAAATGCAAAATCCCTACTTGGCTCGTTTGTTGACCCATTTCCAAATATACGGTTTGAATCCCAAATTCTTAGAGTCGACAAAGACCATCCCACACCTACTTACGGTAGCTGGTGAAGCGTACTGCAAATCCGACACCTACGGGAGCAAGGAATATAAAGTAATCAAGTAAGGGGAAAATCGAAGTCCTCGTACCTCAAAAAGCAGCTTACAATGATTCTGCAAACGGATTCGCTCTCCATTCGGAAGAGTGAGCAGCTTGTTGTCATCCATCACACTGTTCATATCCTCTACCCACAGAGCGTCCACGTCTCCATCGAATACGAGGTAGAACCTATCGTTTCTATCTGGAGCAAGAGGCTTGTTCATTTCTCGAAATATATTTGAAAGTAGACCATCCGTCCAGTCTCGAGTCTCAGGATCTGCATACAGTTTCTTATCAAGCAAATAAAAGAAATACCATGTCCTTACCCATCAAACCGTAGAGCTCAGTCGTAGGCTGAGCCTTTGGGTTTATAATGCTCAACTTGGTTGGACAATTGAGTTTAGTCTGAGCTCGTGCAAGCGTTTGTATGATCACGCTCTTACCACCTCCGGTTGGTCCGACAACCATGGTGGTATGTCTAGTGAGCATAGTTTCGTATAGCTGAATAACTTTATCAACCTGTTCACTCGGACCGGTCATGACCAGGTAGCCATTTTCCTGTAATCCAAGATGCCATCAGCTAAGAGCTGCCTTTCACTGCTAGCAAGCTTATGTACCTCCAAGTCGTGTTCAACAATGTCATTGAATGACGGATAGCGCACACGAGGACAATCCAGGCCAGGGAACAAGTCGTTAATAAGACCAAGGAATAACGGTACGTCCTCGAATATGAACTTCGGCAGGTTCATGTCACGAAGTGCTCGCATAAGCACCAGCTGTTCACTCATGTCAGGAGCACCACGTTTCAATGCCCCTGCCATTACTAGCACTGACTTCAGGGCACGAAGGCCAAAGTCATAGTGGTATTGCTTGGACAGTTGCTCCCTTGCAAGCTTGTAAAGTACAGTCATCTTCTTTGCTAGAACTTTTGCTGTGTCAAAACTGCAGCAAAGGGAGTTAGAGAGCTCCTTTCATAACAGGAAAACCGTACCCTTCAGAGAAAAGCATGATCTCGCAGATTTGCTGCAAGTCAGGCACGATCATTGTCACTGGACGAAACAGAGCCTTCAAGTTGTCAGGCAGCTCCGTTCTGCCGGCATAACCTGGATTCATTGTAATAAAAATTCCTGTCCTCGAATCAAGAGCTATCTCCTTCCCCTCAAATTGAAACTTTTTGAGGTTGTTTTTCAAGGCTTCCTGCAGGAAAAATCGATCAGCATGAAGTCTTTGACAGAAGTTTACAAAACTTGAATTTGCTTAATCTGGGAAGAAACGACAGACAAAACTTCGGCTTCGATGCGATTGAACTCGTCAAAGCAACCCCAAGCTCCGCATTGCACGAGACCAGAGAAAATCGACCCCATGGCCTGCACAGTGAAAAAGGAGAACCGTAAGCTTTTCCAAAGCAAGAGCTTCTTTGGACTAACCTTGTAGTCCAGACCATCACCACAATTAAAAACGACACAAAGTAACGCCATAGATTTTGCGAGATCTTTTGTCGTCTCGGTCTTGCCTGTTCCTGCTGGGCCAGCGGGAGCGCCTCCAAGACGGTAAGTAAGAGCAGTTGTTAGAGTCATATAGCATCGATCGGTTAAAGCAGTAATGACGAGCCTTCCGTTTAGACCCATGTATTCGTAGCCAAAAAGAAACTGTCCAGTACATTGCCTGCAATCAGAAACGTATGGTGAAACACAAGTTACTACAGCCATCCAACCTTATGACTATATCGTCAACCTCCCGGTCCCAGTAAAAACGCAGCTGGCTCTCCCAGGCAAACTCTCTGTGGTCCAGAATACTGTCTCGGACAAACGTATCTATTATATCTCTTGCATGCACCTCAATAATGATCAACGCATTCACCTGCGTAAAGCTTCATGTCACTCGAGGAAAAGACTTTTAAACCATTGAACCTTCTTTCGCTGTAGATTACTCAAATCGGAGCGAACCATTCCAACTAGCTCGTTAAGCTGATCTGTCAACTTGAAGCTAAAGACTTTCATGGAATTTTTGTTACCAGACCGCACACTGTTGAAAGCATCTTCAACCTCCCATGTCCACCATATTTGACTCCCAACAAGGGTAACCATACCGAGATTGTCTGTAATCCACTTGGTACGCCTTGCCTTGGCATAGTGATACACACCTTCCTTAGATATTTGATATAGCGAACGCCTCATTTCAGCTTCCACCTTTTTCATCCAAACTTCGACAGGCCCATCTGTTGATATAGGAGCCCGTAAGGCATATGTTTCACCTTCAGATGATTTCATCCCGACAACAGTTTTTGACCGCTCTCCAAAGTCTAAAGCTGCACAATTGTCAAAAAGTTTGAGCATGTGTTCCTGAATAGCAGTTGGATCAGAGCTGCCCAAAACTGAGAGAAGCTCATCATCAGAAACAAAGAAAAAACGTGGAAACGCATTTCTCTTTGTGTCCAAGTACCTGCATTTTCCGGCAGGTCAAAACAGTACTGAAAAAAGAAAGCAGAACAGAAAAGCTCTTACTCTGTCAGACTCTTTTGACAAGTTTCCAGCTGCGTGTAAAGAACATTGAGCGTCGCAAGCCGATCTGGTGCCGTGCAGGCATCCACTATATTTGGATTTTTAACAGTTTCATTCATTATCTTCTTCCAGGTCTTGTCGATATTATCAAAACGCTTGGCCTCATCGGGCAGCTGATGTCGAATATCATCTGAGATAAATATGCTTTCCAAGTACATCCACTTCCTTTGCACCTACACAGATCATAAATCGATGGTTACATGAGTAAGTGGAAAAAGTGGGAAGAATACCTGCATTAAGATGTCGATGACCTCTCCAATGAGGCTCAACTTTCTCTCCCAGTTATTTACTTCGTTCAAGAATGCACGCACAAAGCGCGAGCTCACCATGCTCTGAAGGTTAAGCATCATATCTTCGAGCAGTACAACGATAGGTTCTGTGGATTTTAATGCCCAGCCCCGATCCATGCCGTCCTTGTTGTATTTGAATATTTCAAATTGCTGCTCTTTCCATATTTCAGCCATTTTTTTCAGGTCCATTTCAATGTTGAGCTCCTTCTGTGCTGAATTCGTTATGTCACTGTAGGAGCAAAAATAAAATGTAAAATTGGAACAGGTAAGTTGTAATGTTACCTGATTACAGCAGCAAAATTATGTAGCTCCATTCTGAAAAGGTTTGCCAGTGTGAATGATTTAGGATCCATGTCAAAAGATTTTCCTGTTACTTCCATCAGCTTTTCCCAATGGCGTGATCGTAACGCATCACTTTTCAGGTCCTACACACGTACACCAAAAAGAAGCACATTAGAACACCTTAAGTGCAGCAGCTTACTTGAATAAGCGGAAGCGAATCCTGAAAGCCCTTGACTTTTGCTTCTAGCAGGGCATACGGTTGAAAGTTTTTGAGAGTACGCAGTCTCTTCAGCCGAACAGTAAATTCTTCAGTAATAGCTACTAGCCTTTGGATATCCAGTTCAACCCATAAAGTGCTAGCGTAATTGTCAACGGTTGTTCTGAAATCGGTGTAGACTGTATAGATTTGTGAAAGGCTTTTCAACAGTGTCTCCACCTTCAGTCACAAAGAACAAGTGTGTAGTGTGCCATAATAGCAGCAAATGATACCTCGGCTAAAAGAGGGTATGGTGTTATAGGCAAGTCAAACAGCTTTTGAGCTAGGACAAGTTGTTCCCTATTTCCCTGGAGCCTCAGCAACTCGGCCTGAAAAACCGCGATGAGACAAATTCACCATTTCGAACTTGAGACAATACATGCGCGGTCTCCATTAGTTCCACTCCAACATCTAGGTCCGGAGCTTTTGCCGGACCTCGTTGTACTGCCTGATCACGAAATCCTGAGACTTCCTTGGCAAACTCAACAACCTGAAATCATAAAAGCAGGAGAGATGCATTTAAAAACAGAAGTGCGCTGATACCTGTTTCTTTGTGGTCTCAGTGAACTTCAGTTTGATTTCTTGCAAGGAAATGTTTAGCAGAGAACACTCTTTCTCCAAGGTTAGCCATCTGGTAAGGAGTAAAATTGCAAATAAATAATGATTATAAATTACAAAACATTACCTCTCTCTGATACTTAAAATACGTGACTTTTCTTCTGGATCGTTGTGTAGTCCAAAAAGTTCCCGCGTTCTGTTTCTTTCTTCCAGGTCCATGTATCTGTGTTTGACAAGGACATTGCCTGATCACATCAACCAAGATGCAATCACATACTCTAACTCCATGACCATGCCTGAACTCTGGACTTCCGCAACCACATTCAGGACCATTTTCAGAGTCTCCAAGGTCTCTGGAGGCTGCGGAAACAATCTCGATAAAAACTAGGAAGCAAAAGTGGTGTTATACCAGGTGTAAAGTATTGAACAGGTAGTCAATCTTTGCGTGGAGTTCAGTCACTCGGGGCTTTTCACAGTTCGACATTTCATTCCCAATAGCTTGGACCCATCCAAGAGCTACTTGATTGATAGAAGCCGCCAACTGGTGGCTGTTAAATACGAGAAACTCCACAGCTTTCTCTTTAGGAAGCTCTAAGATGTCGGTTGCAACCTGCAAAAATCATCTAAGCCACAATAAGGGTAAAAATGCATTACCTTGTAATACTTAGCAAGCTTTTCTTCGAATTTTGCACAAGTTGGATTCTTGGACGCAAACTTTCCAATAATGGTGAGTTTATCTTGCCTCCATAGGTGTTGAAACTTTCTCCAGTGATCCAAATGTCTGACGAACAACCAAAGGTGAAATGCCGCTTAAAGATGGCAATTTACTTGTGCGCTCCAGTCAAGACTTTGTCGATGCAAGTATTTAACGTGAGCATGGATGTTATGATCTGCAATGTATGAGAAGCCTCTTGAGCTAACTAAACAGAGTGGCGAAACGCACCTTGGGATTAAGCGAGACGTCGCTGTAGAATGAAAAGATAAAAGGCTCCGCATCTTCACTGCCAACTCTCTGTTTGCATTGAACTGATTCAAGGAAACTATAATCATTTTCCAGATGCGAACCTGCTCGGGTGTCTCCAAACAAGTCCCATCCATCCACCTGATAAATGGCTTTGCCGAGTCAACGATACTCCGTACCTGATACAAGGCGGGTTACGTCACAACGCACACCCAATTGTTACTTCGAAACGCATACCATATTTGTAAGCAGCTTGGTCAGCTCAGTCAAGCTTGGCTGCACAACTATGTCCGGGATATTTAAGTAGCAGTTCAGTTTAAAATAGCGTATAAAATCCGGTTTCTTACTGCTTGAAACCTGCATCACAATAATCACACGGCTACCCAGAAGAACTTGGAGCATGTACCTTTACAGTAGGAACCTTCTGATAGAGAGCTTTAAGAGCATCTAGCCCACCGATCACCATCTGGTTGAGAGCCTTGAAGATTTTTCGCTCCCAGAAACTATAGTAGTCAATCAACGCAGGTGATGATCCCGTGTTTGTTGCTACCACCACTTCTTCCAGTTTTTTCAGAAGAGGAGAGATCCCTTGGTACCTGTAACGTAAACGCTAAAAACTTGTAAATTCTGTCAGATCTAACACTCACTGTTTTAGTGCGTTCTCCTCGGACTTAAGTCTCTGCTCTTCAATATAATCGTACATCTCCTGCACAAAGGTGCACGCTATAACATTTTTGCAGCAACCATATGTCAAACTAGAACCTGAAATTCCATGCTTTCGACATCCCCAGTGGCAGATGGTAAGTTCAAAAGCTTTGTTTTGGCAATGGTTTCTATGGCTTTCTCGATGCTAGCCGAGTTGTTTTGAACCTGTAAACAGGTTCGACAAGACAAAGGAACATGACTGAGACTGTCAAGGTGACTTGTTTACCTGGGTTACTATGGACTTAAATTCGTAGACTGATTTCATGCACGCCCCCACAAATTCCGGAATGCCCAACGAGTTCCAGTTTAGCTGGTTGTAGCCAGGATCAAGCACATGCTGCAGTTTATCCACACGAATTGCCAAAAGCTTCGACTCCACTGGCGTCAACATCTCCAGGACATTATGGTACCTCTGGAAGGAAAGATTTTCTTTAAATGCTGCACAATCCCAGATTAAAATCCGGTACCTGCAACATATTCTGAAGGCTCTCGATGCACGTTTGAAACTTTTCTTCCTGGAGTGCTACATTCAGCGCCACTTCGGGAAGCTGAAAACCCATTGCGTCCAGATACTTCGCCTCTCTAATGATTTGAACAAGATTTGGATGAAAATTGATAGAGACATTCCCTATCGGGCCCTTGCTCAATATGGACTGCAAAAGCCTCACTGCATGAAGCTCAGCCTTCGGTTTTTGGCGTACCTGTTTCATGTATACCGATGCGTGGTGGTTGACGGAATCCGCCCACTTCGTTATCCATTGCTTCTCAAAATACATCATTTGCTTTGCAAACGCTCGATAATGTATTTCCATCTGTTAAAACATGGCTAAGACAAAGGATATACCACGACAACCAACCTCCAGCCCTGATGCAGCTTGAACGATATCCGTGCCACCTGTTTCGAATTTCCGCATTGTTTTGCGTAAACGTCCAAAGAGAGACCTCGCCCAGTTTATCGAACCTGCAACCGGAGGCTGTAGGCACAAAGGTGTCAGCCACTAGGTGTTTAAGCAACGGTCAAACGACAGAAAAGTACTTGGTTCCGAGTTCTTGGAGGGGTAGACGAGAGCCGGTCAAAAATTTCTCGTGCACTTTCAATCTCCTTGGTGAACTGCATTAACCATGAATGGGGTAAGTAATCAATCGTGGGAAACTAGACAATAAGACTTATTATCTTACAGAGATAGCTGCGTGAATACTTGAATAATTATGTCATTGAATTTATCCATCATCTGCTTGTTGATGGTCCCTTCGCTCTTGATGTTTTTGAAACTCCGAAGCAACTCCAAAGCGCCTATACAGAAAGAGCTCACTTAGAGAAAAAAAAAACGAAAAGAAAAGAAAAGAAAAGAAAATAGGAAGAACCACACCTTCAGCACTGCGCAGCTTCTTGAAGGAAGTGTCAATAAATGCTTTCGTAAGATGCTCAATATTTTCTTTCTCAATATTGAAGTTTGAGACTGTGGCCGACCATTGCAATGCGAAGGCTTTGTCAAACACGTCAAATGCAAGCTTTTCCACGGGCTCTATCATCGCAGCAACTTTCTATTTACACGAGTTGCCAACGTTAGCACGTGTAGGAACAAAGTAAACCATTCCTCAACTATTACCTGGGTCACAGCATCAACACCCTGAGTATCACCGGTCACGGCCTTCAGCTCTGGCCCTAGGAAGTTGTGAAAATCGTAATAAACTTGAACTATATGTAAGAGGTCAATGCAAATGGATGCCATGTAGCTTGTGCGCTCAAACAGCTTCTTTCTATCGAACTCCCACCTGCACTTGCAAAGACGGTGTAGCCCGCCAGCCAAAGCCAAAGAAAGAGATGGTTCGTACCTGGGATCACGACCCTGAACTTCAATTCGTTCACGGACTTGCATATAAACTTCGCTCCATGAATCCAACACAGCTTTGCCGATTGTAAGCTTCGAGACCGCAGATTCAGCAGGCACCGTGAAAAGTGTCTTCAGGTCTATTTCCGATGAAACCTTTTCAGCAATCTACACAAAGAGTTTTGTTTTCGCCGCGCATGCCAACTGGCGGCCATACCTGGTGTGCAATTCTCTCCATCAAGGACCCCATTCGTGCGTCGTCCGAATAATGGCGAGAGATAATCCAGACCATGCGAAGGGCATTCACCATCGGATTCATTGTCTCCAGTACCCTTGGCAGCGCCCCGCCAGCAATAGTCTGAAACGCTGGTGTTAACCGGCATCACACATACTTGGGAGAGTACCTTGAAATGCCTCTCTAGTGTCGTGAGGAACTTGACATTGTCTTTGGCCTCCAGAAACATTTTGGCAAGCTCGCCAAACTGCGACATTCAGCCCACAGTGTACAATGTGAAAGAAACTGCCAGCCAATCCTCTTACGCGAGCTTTATAGGTCCCGACGAGCTCCGAGTTGCTGTTGCCATGCTCCAAAACAGCAAGAACTCTTTTTCTCTTGGCAGAGTTGAGCTGCTGGTAGAGACCGCTCAACGAGCTGCTCCTGTCTCGCCAAAACTCCAGCTCTGCCAGAGGATTCTTCCCGGTTACAACCTGTGCGAGCATCAATCACATTGCAAGAGTGCCTGCTGTCAATATAGGAAGTTACCTTTTTCAGCTCGCGAGCTATTAGTGCTTCCAGAGCCTGCAACCAGTCCGTAACTGCAGTCTCGAGCTGGTGACAAAACAAGCATGCATAGGTGAATGAGGACAGTGTAGCACTATCATAGCACACGGCACCTGAAGGATGAGGTCGAAGTCAATCTCCGCTCTGTCAAACGTTTCCACTGGCAGCGCAGGTATTGCCAGCTGCGTGTCACCAATCAGGAGCTGCTTGACGGTCGACACCTGCGCAAAGTGGAAGCGAGTTGATCACATACAAGTGCTGCTTTCTCCCCGGCACGCAAACCTGAGTTTGGAACCTTTGCATGTTGCTGAGGAGCTCACTTCCGCTGTGCTCGGCCACCTCGGTGGCCCAGAAATGCGTCTCCCCCCGCCCCGCCTCCTTGCTGAGCACGGGGATAAACACCTGGTTGAGCAGCTGCAAGGGCCAAAGCAAGGAACAAGGGAGTGAGAGAGGCGAGGGGGAAGGGCTCTTGCCTGCTCCAGTGTTGCCAGGGAAGGCCCCATGGGAAGCGTGCCAAACTCGAAGCTCGAGGCGATGGCGCCTGGCAGCACGGGGCCCGGCGTGAGCGACTTGACGAAGTACATGACCACGTCGGAGGTGGCATCCTGGGGGAGTACGCCGCTGGTGCTGCTCGACGACAGCAGCACCTCCATGTCCTGCTCGCCGTCGGGGCTGGGCTGCGTGCCCACGTAAAAGAGCACCAGGGGCGCAGGGCCGTCGAGGAACTGGAGCAAACCACCCATCCTCCTCGACTCCCCCTGGTAGTCTTGGAACATGCCATCGTCCAGTTCCAGGCCTGCGCATACCTTGGCCTTGAACCACGCAATGCGGCTGTCGCCCGCCATCTGTGACCTAACCGACCGGAGGACACCCTTAAATATTTTTAAGTGTGTCATGGCATTTTAAGTTTGGAGCATCCGGATTGCCTCGAGGCAGAGCTGGAAGAGCGCTTGGTCCTTGTCTCTCACCACCGAGCTCGCGTGCTCTAGCGCCGCCATTGCCAGGCTGCTCCGGTGGTTGTACAGGTGAAGGAGGCCCTGCGCCATGAACGCCTCGCCAACCCGGACGTGGTGTGGCCCGTATGACTCTGCTCGCTGCTGGCTTATCTCCTGAATTCACGATCCAAGCCCGGTGCTCATTTGTACCACCGGAGAAAGAGAGAGAGAGAGAGAGAGAGAGAGAGAGAGTTACCTGGAGGAGCTTGGTCATCTCGTGCGAATGGACATGAGCCAGTGGAGAGGTGCACTCGACGTGGACACGGTCAGTGTCGGGCTTGAGGCCACACCCGTGGACATGGGAAGGATCAAACACTAACTCTTTGAGCTTGGGAAGCCACGACTCGATGACGAGATCGCAACAGGCCATATGGTCGCGCGTTCGCCCCTGGGCACATAAAATTCGGCCATCTTGGATTGCAGAGCTGGATTTGGATTTAAACACCCACCAGGGAGCGATGGACTTGGCCGAGGTGGAAGAAACTAACGCTGGTGTGGGTGTCATAGACGCCATACTCAAGAGAGTTGTAGTAAATCTCCTCGGAGTATGCTTTGAGGGCTTCGTCCACATTCCCCTGCACGCGACAAGTTGGTCAAATACTCGCCACCTTTTGTGGTAACCTTGATAACATGCAGCTGCCCGTAGAGCCGCCCTAGCTCTGCTCGCATGGCGTTGTGACGCGCTCCGGATTTGTCCTGGAGGAGTAGCCATGCAGCCAGCCCCAGCAGGTCCTCGCTCTGCATCACCCGCTCAAGACCCAGATTGGCCTGGAATATAATACAAGCACTTGTCAGAGATGTATCCAGCTCCGTGACGATGTTACCTGGATGGCCATGAGGTAGAGAGGGACGAGCTGAGGAGTGTGGCGCGGATAAAAGAGCTTCTGCCCGATCTGGACAGCGTCCATTGCAAGCGGCAGTGCTTCCTCGTACTGCAGCTCGCCGATAAGCTGGACAGCTTCCTCGGTTATCATCCTCAGCAGGTTCACTTGCAGCGTTGCAACCAGATCTTCCTAAGTTCCAAACAGTTGGCCCTTGAAGAAAGAAAGGGGAGGAATTCACACTGTGGAAACTATACAAGAGGTTGCAGGAGGTTACTCGTCTCCTGTTGTGGAGGATCTCTTCCAGCGTCTGCGGCGACAGGAGGGTTGCTCCTTTGATTGTGGCTGATTCGGGGGGGATTTCGTGTTCATCCAGCAGCCTGATGAGCCCCTTCTCCTTCGTCTGGACTCTGCTGTACCTGCCTGATCTCAGCTCCTGGTCAATCGATTGAAAGCGTGATTGGACTGGGTGTGGCGAGCTGTCGTGAAGAGAGAGACCAACCTTGCCAAATGCTCCTGGGTTCTCCTTGAACAGCGACACAGCTATTTCGCTCATTGCAAACATCTAGACAATGTGATATGAGCATGAGATGAGGCCGTTTGCAACAAAGAATGTACCCACATTCCCGTGCGGCGTCGGGAAGAGGTGCAAGAGGACGCCATCCAGATCGATGCCAACAACTCTATCCACCTTGTTGTTCGTCGTCATGGCGCGAAAGCGTTTAGGGCCTGTCCGGTAGTTAGGACGTGAACGAGTGCCTGCGCTAGGGTTTGCTTGCGGCTGGAGAGATGGCGATCCTGTGGGCGCCGGCGGTGGCGGGCGCGGCGGGAGTGGCGGCCGCGGCCGCGGCCTCGGCCACGAGGAGGAGAATTGGGAGGAATGGAGTGGCGGCAGCAGCAGTAGATGAGGGTGGAGGCAAGCGTCGTCGGCAAAGGCTGCTAGACTTGGTCGGGCGCGTCCCGGGTGCGGCTACAAACTACTTCAGGAGCCCCTGGAGGAGAGCCCTGTTTGGAGGCATATCACTGCTGGGCGGCTTCTTCGTGGCACAGACAATCTCCCTGTCGTTTGGGGCGGTGGGTGTCAACGATGTCATCGCGTCGGCGCTGTGCGTGCTCCTCACCGAGTACATGACCCGCTTCTACTTCACCCGCCAGCGCCCGTCCCTCGGGGTAGCGCTCCTCAACAATTTCAAGATGGGCTTCACGTATGGCCTCTTCATCGACGCATTCAAGCTCGCCAGCTAGCTATAGATCATTCATGCTCTGGAGGATCTCTTAAATCCGTGTAAGCGAGGAAAGCACCTAGGGCTTTAGGTGATGTCGTGCTTGCCATGGCTATGGCATGCCGCGGGAGTGCCCGCGCGGCTTCCTCCATTGCCCACGCCCACGGTCACAAAGTCAGGCACCACCAGGCTCCGCTTGCGGGCCTCCCCCGCCTTTCCTTCCGAGGTACGGCCGATCGTCTTTCTCAAAGTAGCGCGCCCTCCACTCACCACCAAACGAATGCAGGGCCATGGTGATTCGCCCGTGCCGCAGCTCGTACGATTGCTGGGGCTGGACAATCCCCTGGACAAGCGAGAGGAGGCAGTGGACGAGCTGTGGAGGCAATCAGAAGGTGGCAAGGAGAGCGTGGAGGAGATTGTGAGCTGCCCCGGGTGCCTGGATTTGGTGGTTTCACTCGTTACCTCGGGCTCTCATGCTGCCTCTGAAGCAGCCTCTGGGCTTCTTCGTGAGGTCTCGGCTGTACAACCTTATGGCTCCTTGGTTGCTCAGGCTGGTGCCATACAAGAGATTACGGGCTTGCTAACGCGGAAGAGTCCACCACCCGAGGTAGCTCTCTACTTCTGTGTCTCTCCCGTTTTCATCAATCTCGTCTCAGGTGAGAGACCAAGCTGCAAATGTGCTGCTGAATCTGGCGGCGGAGCCAGGGCTGCGGGAAAAAATAGCCAACCCCGAGTTGCTAGCTGCAGTAGTTCTCATGCTAGATTCGGAGCTACAGGGCGAACAGAATGCAGCTGCTGGGATAATTGCCAAGCTCTCGCTTTCGGAAGGCATCCAGAGCTTGCTGCTAGGCGCGGGTGTTATTCCAAAGCTGGTAGGCATGTCTTCTGTCTCGTTTTCACATTTCACTCACAGTGTGCTATCGCCGCCAGGCCAATATCTTGAAAGCGGACTTTCAGAAGGTGTCCAAAGTTGCTCGGCTGGAGGCTAGGAACGCACTGCTGAGACTTGCAAAGAATCCGGACGCGAAAATGGCCACAATAGACCAAGGCTTGATGTTTGTCCCGCTGGTTGGAGCTGACGCTTACAAGTCTCTCAAGGCTACTGGCGTGGGAGCTCCCAAAGTTCCGGAACAGGTGACCCTGGAGCACCCACTTGGATCGCAAGAGTCTCCATTCGGGGCTGGAGATCTCCTTTTGGGACTGCATATCAGTAGCCAGCAGAGTGTGGACGAAGCAACGCAACTGGCAATGGAAGGCCGCAGCAGGCTAAACTTTCTGAAGAGGGTGGGCTTAGTAGAGACTCCAGCCGGCGGCGACAACAAGCCCAAAAGTGAAGCTCAGAGTTCGACGGTATTGCCCTGGTGGGATGCTATCCCGCGTTTGGTCCTTATTCTCGGCCTCGAGGACGTGTCTTATGCCATGCAAGGTGCCCGGGCTATAGGGGAGGTGGCTATAACCGAAGACTACAGACGAAAGCTCGCCAAGGCTGGCGCAGTTCCTCACTTGGTTTATCTTCTGGGAAGTGGCGACGAGACTGCAATGGGGGCTGCAGCAACCGCCATCGAAAAGCTTTCAATAAGGTGACTCGTCCTTCCTGTTCTTTCGCGTGGATGGTTTCCTGATGCTGGCAATTTGATATAGCCAGAAAGTGAGGAGAGCTATCAATGCCTTCGGTGCTATTCCGGCCCTCGTCTCGGTTTTGAAAACACCCGATGTTCCGGAGTCCCTCCAAGAAAAGGTAAGGTTGCATCTTCAGCGCCTGTCTACTAGTTTTGCCATGTGATGCGTTTGCAGATTGTTGGAGCTCTGGTACGCTTGTCTCAAACGCAGGAGGAGGTGGAGGCTACCACGGTGCGCTTTGTACTCGCTCACGGCTCACCTCAGAGATTTGGATGCAGGTCCGGTCTGGAAGCGTCGCTCGGGGAGTTTTGGACATTGTCAACTCCGAGGATGCGACCTACGAGGCCAAGGTTGAGGCTGAAAATGTTCTCAAGGAGATCATGTCGCTCAAGGCAGATCCAAGGTACATACGCATGAGATCAATATTTTATAGGCTCAGCTGGCTGATTTCAGGGACAAGATCGTAGATGCTGGTGGTGCGGCGCCGCTCATTCGCCTTGTTGCGTCAAGTGGCTCTTTCTCCTTGAGACGCAAAGCGGCAAGCGTCTTGGAGAGCCTGGCGACCAAGGAAGCTCATGCCGTGAGCATGGCAGGCGCGGGAGTCGATTCTGCTCTTAAGTCTCTACTTCGAGTGGAAACGGCAGGTTCGTAGCTATGATATGGCCTTCCTTGTTTTCGAGTTACGTATGCCTGCCTTGGTTTGTTTATAGACGAGGACGATGGTAGCGGTGTGAGCGCGGCCTGTAGTTTACTGGGAAGGCTGCTCGACTGTGAAAATGCCCGGGAGAAGCTCGACTGCCCGTCCTATGTTGCGCTCTTGGGGGAGTTTTCTAAGCTGGAGAGCGTGCCTCTGTCCATCAGACACAAGATATGGGAGTGTCTGCTCAAGCTGGGCGAGCAGTCGAGGAGGATGCATTAAAGTTTATAGTGGCTCGTCTGTCTTGACAAGTATAAAGCGCTGCTTGCCCTAACCCTGGGGGCTCCTCCTCGGCGATGGTCGCTAACGGCTGCATGGCGCCGCACGAGGCGGTGGAGGAGGAGGTGGAGAGGCTGAAAATGGAGATCCGCGAGGTGAAGGCGCTCATCTGGGAGGGGAGGATGAAGCTCGCGGCCACAGCGGACGCGGAGGAGCGGCAGTTTCTGCGGGAGGAGCAGCGCTGGCTGTTCGACGAGACGAGGAAGATCCGGGACGAGGTGAGGGTGCGGCTGGAAGCGCGCAACATTGCGATGCAGCACCAAATGGCGGCCCGCTTTGCGGCCGAGCCCGGATGTGCTGGTACGTCAAACACAAACTGTACGTCGTCGTCGTGGAAGATGCCCGTGCTCCAGAGGCCCGACACTCCCGCTGCTGCTGCCTGGGTGTTCCCCGACTTTGTGCCCGGCTGTGGCTGGCCGCCTTTACTTCCCTGCTCGCAGGAGCAGCATCAACAGCACCAGCACCAGCACCATCAGCAGCAGCAGCAGCAGCAGAGAGATCGGCAGCCGCAGAAGCGTGAGCCGGAGCATGTGGACCTGTCGGGCTGGACGTCATGCCTCATTCAGCAGCAGCAGCAGCAGCAGCAGCCACAGCAGAGCCAGGAGCGTCCGAAACCCAGGCTGCCGCCGTTGCGGCCGAGGAAGGATGGAGGTACTGCTTATACTTCGTAGTTTGGTTCTGCCCGCGCATTAATTGTGGTTCGTGACAGAGGCCAAGACTGATCCCCTGGTGATGCAGCCACCAAAGAGCAACGGCAGCAGCAGCAGCAGCAAGAGGAAAAGAGCTTCCAATCCGGCAGCTGCAGCGTCGACAATCAAGGAGGAGCAGGATGCGGGTGGTCGAGAGGAGCGGGGGAAGCGGCCGCGCTGGAAGGACCACTGGGTGATGCAGCTCATCCAAGTCCGGGGTGGGATGCAAGAGGAGTTTAGCAAGCCGCCCAAGCAGGGCGTGGATCTGTGGAGGCAGGTCTACACAAAGCTGGTCGCGTCGTGCCCGGATTTTGACAAGGAGCCCGAGGCGTGTAGGAAGAAGTGGAAGACGCTGGTGACCGACTACAAGGCTGCCTCCACCAACAATTCTAACAACAACACTAACACCGCGAGTACCACCACCAACACCGGTGCCAGCAGCGGTGCCGGTGAGGTGAACGAGAGGCCGGACAAGTGCCGCTATTACACCATGATGGACGAGTACATAAGCGTCAAGGACATCCAGACGAGCGTCATTGGCAGTGCCGCAACCGTGGCCACCATTGCCTGCCTGGACGAGGTGACGAGCGAGCTCGACTGTGTGGACACCTAGCGAACATGCAACGCGGGTGACACTATCCCGGACCCGGGGAAAGGAGATATCTATCCCGGAGAGAGGGGAAGGAGACTTCTTTTCTTTTTTATTTTTGCGCGAAGATAATATGGAGGAAGTAGAGGTCGAGGGGGAGGAGGAGGAGGAAGAGGAGGTGGCTGTGGTGGAGGAAGAGGATCGAGTGAAGCAAGCACGGGCGCGGGTGTTGCGTGATCGGCTTCGCATTGCTGTGATTGGGGTCGCTGAATCACAAGGTGCTCTACTTGTTTGGCCCTATAGCTAGTGCCCAAGTCTCATATCGCGGTTTTGCAGCTCGACAGAGTGGACTGACTGTTTCCCAGCCGGTGATGACGGCCATCTGCGACATCACCCACAAGTTCACCGGTGAGTGAGTGAGGTACGATTTATGCAAGTGTGAAGGCTCATTACTTTTTTGTGTGTGTGTGTGTGTGTTTCCCACATTTCCAGAACAGCTAGGCAAGGAGCTCCAACTGTTTGCGCATCACGCCGGTCGAAAGTCGATCAACATGGACGATGTTATCCTGGCTGGTAAGCTGTTGTGCTGTTACTGCGGGGCTTGTGTTACTACTCGTGTTCGTTTGCAAGCAGCGCGCAGGAATGAGGATGTGGCCACGGCGCTCAAGGCAGCGTCGCACGAGCTGCCCGACAAGAAGAGGAAAAAGGCGCAGGGGGAGCAACAAGACAACCATTTTCTAGTGATCGATTAGTTCATCTGGAGTGGAGGATCATCGGTGTTTAGGACTGGATGACTAGCGGACACTTTTACTTGCATTTGCCGCAACAACAATAATGCAATTAGAGCGATTGGGCCACGTCAACTCGGCCCGGCGTCAAATTTGGAAAGTGTCCAATCCAATGATCCATAGCATCTCTTCCTTTTCCTATTTTTCGCCCTTCACGTATTTGGTATTTGGGATTTGATCATGGAGAGCTTTGCGCTCAAGCGGATTGCCGCTGTCGCCAGCCATCTCACTCCCACCGCGCCGCCACCGCAGCAGCAGCAAGCGCTCTCCATGGAGGCCACCGCCAGCGCCGCTGCTGCATCGGTGTTTGACCATCTGGAGCAGGCGCCCGAGGATCCCATTCTAGGGGTTAGCAAATCTCCTCCTTCCTTGTAAATAACTTCTGTTCCCAGATAACTGTGGCATACAACAAGGATCCCCATCCCGGGAAAGTAAATCTTGGAGTTGGAGCTTATCGCACTGAGGTGAGCAAAGTCGAGCTGCTATACAAAGAAGCGTCCAATTTCTGAAAAGAAGATGGCTCTCACTCGTGAATGAAGGAAGGCAAGCCCCTCATATTGAATGTGGTCCGACGTGCTGAGGAGCGTCTTCTAGCTGACCGGTATGGCATGTAAAATGTGGACGATGTTTATCTTTCTTTTCCTGTGTGTCTTGCCAGCTCCAAGAACAAGGAATATCTGCCCATTACTGGCCTTGCAGATTTTAATAAGCGAAGTGCGATGCTCATTCTTGGGAGCGACAGGTATGTGGATCTTTGCGTGTGTGCTTATTCAAGTTTGTGGGAACAGCCCCGCTGTTGTGGAAAAGAGGCTGGTAACTGCACAATGTCTTTCTGGAACGGGCTCCTTGCGTGTAGGAGCCGAGTTTCTTGCAAGACATTATGGTGTGGTACGCTACGTTTTTCTTTGTCTTGGTTGATTGTTCACCCTTTCCTTGTTCTGCTTTGCAGAAGCTGGTCTTTCTTCCCACCCCGACATGGGGAAACCATTTTAAGGTTTTTATGAATGCTGGACTCGCTGTTAAAACTTATCGTTACTACGACAACAAAACCCGCGGCCTTGACTATGAAGGTGAGTGATGCTTCTCTGGATTGTTTGTATGAAACGGCATTGTTGGCTTCTCAGGTATGCTCGAAGATATTGGTGCCGCGCCGAGCGGCTCGGTCATTCTCTTGCATGCCTGTGCTCATAACCCCACCGGGGTGGATCCAACACCACAGCAGTGGGAAGGAATCCGGCAGGCAATCCGGAATAGGGGACATTTACCATTTTTTGACAGTGCTTATCAGGTATCGCTATAACTGAAAATACGTACAGATAGAACTGTTTCGTTCATCCAGGGGTTTGCAAGTGGTAGCTTGGATAAGGACGCGCTTGCGGTTCGAACCTTTGTAGCTGATGGCGGAGAGTGCTTCATTGCTCAAAGCTTTGCTAAAAACATGGGACTTTATGGTGAACGCGTTGGAGCTCTCAGCATTGTAAGTTTAAAGGTAGCCTGACTTATGGAGGCTGATATCAAGTTTCTTTTCAGGTCTCGAAATCTAGTGGAGTTGCAACGAGGGTCGAAAGCCAGTTGAAGCTCGTCATCAGACCAATGTACTCAAATCCTCCCATTCATGGGGCTTCAATCGTCGCGCTTGTCCTGGGTGACGGGTGAGCCGACTATATGCACTTGAAGTTCTAAGGACTGACTTGTTGCGCAGTGATCTCTTTTCAGAATGGACTGTGGAGCTGAAAGGCATGGCGGACCGAATCATTAGCATGAGGCATAAGCTCTACGATGCTTTACGAGCTCGAGGTTTGTTCTTGCTACTCGTCTTTGGGTTTTAAAATTCGGCTTTTGCTTCACAGGGACCCCTGGAGATTGGACGCACATTCTCAAACAGATAGGAATGTTTTCCTTCACAGGCCTCAACAAGGAGCAAGTGCAGTTCATGACGAGAGAATACCGCATCTACATGACACTAGACGGGTAAAATGCTATTTTGTTAACTTTAGGCCTAGTTTAACAAACTCTCTTGCTATTCAGACGCATCAGCATGGCCGGCCTGAGCTTGAAAACGGTACCATTGCTCGCGGACGCAATTCATGCTGCCGTTACAGGGGCCAAGGCGTAACGTCTCGCAAAGGCCATAGAATTTTGCCAATAAAAGCCTCTTTTTTCAGATCAAGCCAGAGGACTCGGCAATCAAGTCTGGAATCTTAGCGAGGTCCTCCTCAATTCTATCGTAGTGTCTTTGAGCAATCGTCGTAGGCTATGCTGTAGCGTCGAGAATCGTGTGTGAGGGAGCTTCCTTGGCGAAAGTACCGATACGAAGCATGGGAGCATTCTTGTGCTATCTTTCGAAACAGCTTCCATAATCAAACCACGGTGGCCGCTCTACACATGTTAGAGAGCATTACATATGGTGAACCGACGCCAGGCTCCGCTTGCATGGCAGCCTGGGACGCGACGGCAAGGCCATCCTTGCTGCTGTAATGGCCGCCCCGACACGCCGCTACGAAGCATCTCCAGTCCAAGGCAGTCGGAGCGAATGGCATGGCGGCCATCAAGGCTTGGGCGTCGGTCACGTATCCCGCCCTGCACAAGAGGCTCACCATGCAGCTGTAGTGCTGCCCGCTCGCTACAAGCCCAAAGTCGCAAGTCATGGACGTGAAGCAGTGGCAGCCACCTCTCACAGCTCCTCTGTGGCTCCACGCCCCGAGAACACTCACGAAACAGATGCCATCCGGGTGCTCCACCAGGTTCATTTCGTTGAAGAGCTGCAGTGCCATCTGCGGCTGGCCCGCTTGAGCGTAGGCGCTGATGACTGCCGTCCACGACACCACGTCCCGCTCGGGCATGCATCCAAACAAATTGCCACACTTGGACATTTGCCCGCATTGGGCATAGGCTGCAAGCAGGGCGTTCCACGATATGACATCTCTCTCTCGCATGGCGATAAATACTTCCTTCGCTTCCACTATGCTTCCGCTGCTTCCAAACGCCGAAAGCATTGCGTTGCAGCACGCGAGGTTCTTGTCTTGCAGCACGTCAAATACGTGCTTGGATTGCTCCAGATGCCCTGTGCGGGCATACACCCAAATCATAACCAGCGCACACACGTTGTCTCGCTCTGCCATCGAGTCGTAGACGAGCTGCGCTTGGTCAGTCTGGCCGCCTCGCGCGTACATGTTGAGCAGGGCCGTCCATGCCACTAAGTTCCATGCCGGCATCTCGTCGAAGAGTTTCTTGGCCTGGTTCGGGCAGTCGTTGTTGGCATACGAGCACAGCATCAGAACCCAGCTGAAGCAGTCCTTGCAAGGGATGCTGTCAAACACTTGCCTCGAGAGAGCCGGGCTGCCGCACCTGCCATACATCTCCACCACCTTGTTGGCCACAAACACGTCAAAATGCTGCACCTGGGAATGAAACCTTCTTGCATTTGGAAGGGAGCAACAGGAACGCATGAGTTCCAGGCAAGAGCTTCGATCTAGCATGCCTCACTGGAAGAAACGAAAAACTCGCACTTAGGAGCCTAGTTATCTAGATTGTTTCTTCCTGGACACTGGTTGTATACTCCGATATGATGGATTTGAGCGTGCTTCGCTCCAGACTTGTGCGAAGCAGCACCTGCGCATGCAACGTTAAAGAGAGCAGAGAAGACATGCACACACGTACCTCCTGGACTTCGTTGCCAGAGCGAGCAAGTAACTTGTACGCTTCGTCATGCTGCGCCGAAGACAGGTACACCTGGAGCTCACCACCGAGTTATTGTCACGAAGAAATCCCAACAGATTCTGTACCTGAAAAGTCGGAACGACTGATGCACTATGCACGCGTCGCCCTTTCACTATTTCCTGGATCTCCTGTCGCGATTCTAGCCTTTTAAGCAGTGCCTCCAACTCCGGAATGCTGAGGATCTAAGCATGACATACACTGAGAACGACTCAGGCATGAAACAATCTTACTTGTGGATCAGTTGCAGAATTTGAATTCACGTCTTCTTGTCGGGCCAGCATGCTTTCCACGGTCTCTAACAACGGGTCTGGCTGTCGTCAAAACGCAAAAGACGGCCATTTAGCGTTCATTTGTGTGGACTCAGATCTACTTACAGACATCCTCTTCAGAGAAAGATATATACGCTGTCGATCGTAATCGAGTTTGTGTACCGCTGTCTCGATTTCCTACAAGTTGAAAGTTAAGTTTCAGCCAAGACGACATGACATCCGTACAACAAACCTGGCCAACGTTTACGAACTTTGCCGGATCAGGAACAGGCGTCCACGAAAGCTCTGAGAAGTGCATCAGCCCGCTAACACCTTCAACCAGCTGCGTGATACAAGTTAGAGCTTCAGAGAGCATACTGCTTGCTTATTTCTAACCTCTACAAAAACACCAAAGAGGGAGATGTTTCTGACTCTTCCCTTCACGATATCTCCAGTCTTCAGTTTTGCCTGTAAAATGCGCCCGTTCAGTATCACTAGATTAGACTAGAACACAAGGCTAACCATCAAATCAGCTCGTCTCTGAGTAACCTCTGGATCTTCGAGGGCGGCCTTCCTTTCGGAGAAAACAAGCTTTTTCTTCGCTTTATCCACATACGTCACAGTAACCTTTGCTCTCTGTACAGGCAATAAAATATGCGATGTAAAATAAAACATGTCCTAGAGCTATACGTACCTGGCCAACTAAAGATGAAAGGAAGGAGAGCCTTTCCTCCCTGTAAACCCTGTCTAGATCAGAGTCGCAAGCTGGATGTAGCAAATGACTTTCAACTTCGCCGGTTAGGCCTTGGTTGCTCATCTTGGACACGGCAAACGTCGACTCTGACGAGCTAGATGAGTCCAAAATGCTCGTGTGATTGGCATCATGGCCCCTTTCTCTAGCCCAGGCCCTGAAAGTTTTCAGTCCTCGGCTCTCGAGCAAGTCCTTTCCCGGAACAAAACCGTTCAAGTGACCAAATCGCACCTGAGAAATGCCATGGTGACAAAATAATAAGAAGACGAACACAACCACTTACGATCATTCCACCCGCATTGCTCCCAATAAACAACACGTCTTGAATTGCCCTTGTATCCAGAGCAACCTCTGCTAGCGCCCAGTCCTTGTCTATTTCTTCCTGCAAAAAACCACATCAGCGACTAAACAAACATTCTTATGCGTACTTGATCAGGAGTTTCCGCCACAGTTTCTTGCACAAGACGTGGTGCAGGCTTCCTGCATACACCCAGTAAGGCTCGTTTCAAAACAACACAAAATAACCAGGTTGAGGATTGTACTTTGCTTGCACAGCATCCAGGTCTACCTTGGCTGGTTGAGGAGATGAACTTTCTAGATGAGCGGCGGAACCATTTCCACTGTCAACACCACCGGGAATCGCCTTCCCTTCTCCAAAACTGTCCGCCGCCTCGGATTTTTCGGACACTGGCACGGCAGGCTTGGCACTCAAGCTAGGCACAGGTATTTCTTGTCCACTTGTAGGCCGTTCTCCAGCTGAAAACTCATCTGCTGCAGGTGGTGTTAACGGCCGAAGCGCAGGTCTCGAAGTGAGACTTGGAGTTCGTAACTCCTTGTCTTGTCTGGTTGGAGTCGGGTTATCCGAGTGTTCTTTCGTCTCCAGTTTTGAAGACCGGACCTCAGGCCTGGGAGCAAGACCTGAAACGGTTAAGTCTGGTTCTTTCTCGAGTTTTACGAGATCTTCTACTTCTTGGATCGTTGCTGGTGGAGTCATCTCTGGTATCGGCACTCCTGTTAAGTCCGGTCCCATCTGCTGTTGGGCTTCGTGTTCGGCTTTACTAGTAGGAGCCGGCATTTCAGGTCTTGAGGTGAGGCTTGGAACTTGCATCGCAATCGTTTGTGGTGGAGCTTTGGACTCCTGTTCGGGTTCTGCAGGTGGAGTTGGGAGCCGCATTGTAGGTCTCAGCGTGAGCTCAGGCACGTGTAAGTCTGGTTTTTCTTGCACGGCATTTGCCGGTGTATGTTCTTGCTGATGTGATGGTGGAGTTGGCTGCGGGATTGCAGGCCTGGAGCTGAGACTGGGAACAGGCAGCTTTTTTGGAGGTGGAGGCGCCTGCTGTGGTGTTATACCTGCGACTGGAAACATGTCCTTAGCTCCGCCACCCCTCGAGGGTCTTGAATGAAGCTCAGGAGCGGGCTTTTCCGGGGCTTCAGCTTTTCCAGGAGACGTCCTTTGAGCATCCGATGATGGAAGCCTGGGAACCAAAGGCTTACCAACGCGTGGTGTCGTCGAAGAACCACCTCTAGGCTTCGGAGAGAGCTGGATGATATCGGGCCTGGAGAAATCCCGATAGTCGTCCTCCAAATTCTTTCGTAGCTCGTCTGCTTCCCGGGGCCACTCAAACTCAAAACCTCCAGCTTGACGACGAGGTGGAGGAGAAGCAGCTCCATCACCAAACGAAGGCCTTGGCGAGAGCATGACCGGCGGCGGCGCTTCGCTTCTGGACTTGTCCATGGCTTCATCCTTACGTTGAATCGCTGCTTCTCGATCCTCGTCCAAATCCGACTCCTTGACAACCAGGCTGAGGAACGTCTTGACACCTTTCTGCTTGACAATCTTCTCCACCTCGAGATTAGTGGCGGATGGATTGAGCTTCTTGGCCACCACCTATGGAACAGAACGAGAAGACAATCATCGTATAGCTAGCCCTGGAATTCCCTCACCTTTGCAATGCTGAGGTCGCGAGAGTCTCCGAGCATGCGACGCATTTCCAGCTGCATGAGATCCGCCTTGTCGAGCGTCACTTGTCTGGGCTCCCAGACGTCCTCCCACTGCTGCCTCTTGGCAGCGGCAATCCAAATCCCAGCCCTCCGCCCGCGACCCAATGCCTGCTGCTGTGGAGGAGGAGGAATGCATCCCAGGGCCAAGGCCGACGACGGATTCGGCCATAGCCAGGCATGAACCATAGAAATCTTCCTATTTTTCCACCAGTGGAGGAGAGTGACAAGAAGCCCTACCTATGAACCCTACATTTACTTGGCTGGTTTCCCCTTGTTCTTGGTGAGCTTCCTGTTCGCGTTAGCGGAGGTGGAGAAGGGCATCTGCCGCGACTTGGCCCTGCGCCTCCGCCCAATCACGTCACTGCTGCGAGGCCGACGATCGAATTTCTTGGCCGGCTTCTTGTCCGCTCGCCGCGCATTCATCCCATCTTCCTTTTTCATCACGTCCAGCTCGCGCTCGTTCAGCAGCTTGACGAACTTCTCCATGGAGATGTCGGTGTCCATCCACTCGGGGTTGACAGCCGCATCCAGCGTTCCACCATCCTCCTCCTCCGATGGTCCGATTGCTGGCTTGGGCGGCTTGGGTGCGAGAGCGATGAGGCCACCGTTTTCGAATTCTGGAGCTTGAGCGCGGGCGAGAGCAGCGATTCCTGGAGGAGGATTCACAGGCTTGGGTTCCGGTGGCTCCGTGGCGGCAGCAGCTCGTTGCATCCAGGAATCGGAGACGAGGCGCATCAGAGCATCCGCGCCCCTCTTCTTCACCAGCTTGTGGATCTCCAGATTGTTGAGGTGGGGATTGAGTTTCTTGGCCACCACCTGCAGAGCAGGATCATGAGAGAGAGGAGGTGAGAAGAAATGAGAAGAAATGGAACCTTTGCAATGCTCGTCTCCCGCGACTCCCCCAGCAACCGGCTGAATTTGAGCTGCAACAGGTCCGACTTGTCCAGCTCAATCTCACTCTCCGCCCCCTCCCACACCACGCTACTCTCCTCCTTCTTCTTGACACACACCACACTCTGTGGCCTTCGCCATTCCCTGCTGCCGCAAGACACACTCATGCTGGCGCCATGGATTCCCCTTGCCTGGCAAAACAAAGCCATCTTTCTCTCGTTGCCCTACCCTCAGGTAAACTCTTTATCTCTCAATCGGCACTAGCTTGGAGAGAGAGAGGTGATTGGGCCAAACCATCCAGGACGTGACCAATACTATCTGTGTCTCGGACGATTTGTCTACCAGGCAGCACGACGGCAGCCAGGGGCATGTTATCCTGTCCGCCACTCTCGTCGATTATAAGCCTGTGACTCTCCATATGCAGCGATCCGTGATGGCCGCTCACCACCATCACGCCATCCTTGACAAGCTCCTGAACAAAAAAAAAAAGGAGAAATTTTGAGTACCTACGAGAGACTCAATATACTTCTTGCCTCTGGAGCATTCCACACGTTGCTCCGTCCCAGCATGTTCTCGTGCCTCGAAAGCCTCACGTCCTTCTCCCTGAGAACTCTCAGCTGCTCTTCCAGGGGCCGCGCTGCTTCAAGCCCCGCGTGAACTGCAACGAGCTTGCCGCAGCTCTCGCTTCCATCCTGGTGGGGTGAAAGAATGGAATCGATAAAGAGTAAAAACAATATACCTGCTCGTAGATCCACACGAGCTTCCGCAAGAATGCCTTGTGATCCTCAGGAACAGCACCAAGCAGTCCTACGCACACCATCACAAACACAGAATGACTCAGGAAGGAGCAAAAATGGCTGCGGAAAAAGAAAAGACTACCTTCCCGATCGCCATGCTCCACCCCGTAAGAGCTAAACGTGGGCTCCGAATCAAAGATGGAGCCCCTGTACTCCATGTTCTTCTTCACGTTAAACTTGGCCTTGACCCTGCCACCCCATCGCCTCCCTTGCAAGTGCATGTCCTCGAATCCACGCCCGCTCCACCACCCCTCCGCCTCTTGCTTCTCCTCGGCGCCCTTGGTCCCCTCCCACGTCCGGCTAAACGGGAAGCCAGGCACCGCCGGGAGCAGCCCCAGGAAGGCCGACATCCCAAAGTCGTGATTCCCGCACAGGAAGACGTGCTTCTGGGAGGGATATGAGGTGGGCAATGCGACGAGGAAATCCAGCACCCCGGCGGTATCGGGGCCCCTGTCGCAGTAATCCCCGAGGAAAATCACCGTGGCCGATGCGAACAGCGCGCCCAGTCCTGCTTCCAGATTCCGCCACAGCGCGTGCAGCCGGATCAAGTGGCCGTGCACATCGCCAATGCACACCGTCGGGCGCCTCGCCACGGTCGTCGCCGCCATGGCCAGCTTCGCGAAGCTGCCGGGCCCGGGAGTGACAAACCCTAGCTTTGCGTGGCGCGGAGTGCTTAGATTTGGGGAAACCTCCTGGGGCGTTATTACGCGGATTCCCTTCCAAAGCGCGCCATTCATCGCCGTCTCTTTAAGCAAAACGGGAGAGAGAGACACGCACAGAGAGAGAGAGAGAGAGAGAGATGATTCCAGGGACATTCTGTCCACGTCAGCGGACCACGTGGCTACAGCATATGCACAGGGCGGGATGCCCGCATATCCTTTCCTCCTCACAGACGCAGAAGACTTGCTTTTAACCACCGCGGCGGCATTGCGGCAATCTGGAGAAGAAATTCATGGGGTACGCACTACTGCTGGGCTGGGCGAGCTATAGTTAGAACGAGCTTAGGTCTCATCAGCAAGCAAGCAAGCGAGCAAGCGAGCAATTGGATTGCACCCAGGGATGGCGGCGTGGGTGGATTCCGTGGATGGGCGGACGGAGCGAGCTCTGTCCTTCATCTCTCGGAGCTTATCGGACGTGCAAAGGAGCGCGGATCAGGACTTCAAGCTGATGAAGGCGCGGGCCAAATCGTTCCGGGATCTGGCCAGCACCCTAGACAAGGAGTGGGAGAATTTTAGGTTTCCAGTCCCGGGCAGCAGTCGCGATCTCCTGGGGAGATTCAAGGAGAGGCAGCACGCGTCGCCGGCTCCTCTGGCCATTTCTCCGCTCACAGCCATCTCGGCACAGGTGGAGGACGTGGAATTCATACGGAGGTTGCGGCCCACGCTCTCCACTTTCAGGAGAATCCAGTCGGATCCCAACTTCGTCAAGCGTGATGACTCCAAGAGGAGCAGGGACAGGATGGATCTGTCCATGCTCAAGAAGGCTCTTGCTCCCTTGGCCAGCGATGGCGATGGCGACGATCCATCCACTACTTCCTTGGAGCAGCGCTCCCCTTGGGTCAAGGGCGACAATGCGAGCTGGAGGTGGCGGGAGAGGGGCACAGGCACCAGTGCCAAACGGACGAGAAAGATGGTGAAGTTGCCAGCCTCAGAGGACTGGGAGCCTCTCAAACGAATGAAAGAAGGACTCAGGGATTTGGAATCGACTGCGGCCAAGAGCAAGACGCCCTCCGAGTTCCTCGAGAACGTCAAGAAGACGGAACTGTTTGAGAACGTCAAGAGCAGCCTGGTAAGCCACCTCTCTTCTGGTTCTCAGAGCATAAGCTTTGCTTTCGTTTGCTCCTTGTTGCAGAAACTCACTCTTCCAAATTCCGATGGTGCGAGAAAACTTACAGAGGTTCGACTCTTTTCTTTCTAGACTTCTACTTAGTAGTTCTTAACGAAGGCGCGTCAGGAGCCTGGAAATGATGTGGCGCCCTTGGACGTTCCCGAGCTGCTGGAGAATCTGGTGAGGCAATCAGAGCCTTTCCTTGATCAACTCGGCGTGAGAAAAGGTTCGTGTTTCTGTTTTGTGGCATTGACTGTATGATCATGCAGACGTCTCCGTGAGCTTCTGTAAGATGCTGCGGCGGTGCAAACGCGCATCCAGCGGCAACGCGGAGCTTGTAGCAACGTCGACAGAGTCAGAACCCAAGGACGACCTGGACTTGAGGGTCGCTAGTGTTCTGCAGAGCACAGGGTACAGGTACAGAGGTGGAATGTGGAAGGAGGGTACTGAAGCTGCGGATTTGCCAGACGATGGAAGGCGTAAAATTGCAATCGTGACGACGGCAAGCTTGCCATGGATGACAGGAACCGCTGTTAATCCTTTGTTCCGTGCGGCATACTTAGCCAAGGACGGGATGAGAAATGTGACCTTGCTCATTCCTTGGCTTTGTAAGAAGGACCAGGCTCTGGTATATCCCAGCCACATGAGCTTCAACACTCCCGAGGAACAGGAATCGTACGTTCGTACTTGGCTGGAGGAAAGAATTGGATTCAAGGCGGATTTCAAGATTGCATTCTACCCCGGCAGAGTAAGCTTGTATCATAGCGATCGTCTTAATGCTGGTGAATTTGCAGTTCTCGACGCACAAGCGAAGTATACTGGCTTGCGGTGATATCTCGCAGTTCATACCCGATAAAGAAGCAGACGTCGCGGTTTTGGAGGAGCCGGAGCATCTCACGTGGTACTACCACGGGAGAAGATGGAACAAGAAGTTCAAGGACGTGATTGGCGTGGTCCACACCAACTACTTGGAGTACGTTCAACGCGAAAAGAACGGTGCCTTGCAAGCGTTTCTACTCAAGCACATCAATAATTGGGTGGTCGGCATCTACTGTAACAAGGTACGCCGTGCTTTTCTTCACTTTGATTCTGCTTGTAGTGAACCGCGGTGTTACAGGTATTGCGGCTCTCCGCTGCTACACAAGAGCTGCCGAAATCGCAAGTTTGCAACGTCCACGGCGTGAGTCCGAAGTTTTTGGAGATTGGGAAGAAGGTGACCGTGGAAACAGACTCTGGCAAGTCTGCCTTCACCAAGGGCGCTTACTTCCTCGGCAAGATGATATGGGGAAAGGGGTACAGGGAACTTGTTAATTTACTAGCGCAATACAAGCAGGACCTGGCGGACTTGAAGCTGGACGTTTATGGTTCCGGAGAAGATGCAGCCGATGTGAAGTCGACGGCTCAGAACCTTGGCCTGGGCATAAATTTCCATCAAGGCAGAGACCATGCAGACGAGTCTCTACACAGGTACTCTCTTTTGGACTTGGATATGGTTGCTTACTAACGGGTCTCTGTTGCAGCTATAAGGTGTTTATCAATCCAAGCGTGAGCGATGTGGTGTGCACGACGACGGCAGAGGCACTGGCCATGGGAAAGATCGTTGTTTGCGCCGATCATCCGTCCAACGAGTTCTTCCGGGGCTTCCCAAACTGCCTCACTTACAGCAGCCCCACGGAATTCGTGGAGAAGGTGAAGGTGGCCATGGCGTCGGAGCCGGTGCCGCTGTCGGCCGAGGAGTGCCATCGCTTGTCGTGGGAGGCTGCAACCGAGAGGTTCCTGGAGATGACAAAGCTGGACAGAGGAAGCGCGAGTGAGCAGCAGGCAAAGGCTGGAGCAGCGGTGAAGCGGCCAATGACACTGTCCATGTCGCTTCCAAACTTGCGGGATGTTGTCGATGGCACTCTGGCACTGGCTCACTTCGTAGCTTCGGGATTTGAGCCGGCAAGGCTGGTGTCTGGAGCGATCCCTGGAACGATGCATTGCAGCGTGGAGCAGAGCAAGGATCTGGGCTTGCCACCTCCATTGTTTCATGGTTTTTAAGTTCGCCATGAAAAGGAGGGCAGCCATGTCACCAAAGAGAATATAAAGTTTGCCGGAACCTTTAATATCTGCCCTAGAATTATGGGTGAACAGGTTGTGACGCCTTACTCTGTTTCGGCGAGGAATGGCGCCGTTGATTACGCGCGGATCGTCTCGGATTTTGGATGCAAGCTGATCGATCCACAGCTCATCCAGCGACTGGAGAAGCTGACCAACAAGCCCGCCCATCCATTCTTGCGCCGCGGGATTTTCTTCGCTCACAGGTATGCTCGTTTCGGTAAACCCGTGCAATCCCCTCTCCTCTACCAGGGATCTAGAGTCCATTCTCGATGCGTACGAGCAAGGCCACAAGTTCTTCTTGTACACGGGGCGTGGACCATCGTCGGAATCCTTACATTTGGGCCACCTTGTGCAATTCATGTTCACAAAGTACGCACTCTACTCTCTCAAGCTCTAGGAGTGTTTCTAACGATTTCCAAAGGTACTTGCAGGACGCTTTCGATGTCCCTCTGGTGATTCAGCTATCCGATGATGAGAAGTTCATCTGGAAAGATATAAGCCAGGAAGAGTGCCAAAGACTGGGCCGAAACAATGCCAAGGATATCATTTCTTGCGGATTTCGTTTGGAGCGGACTTTTATATTCTCTAATTTAGACTATGTCTCTGGGTACGTGGTGCGGTAATCTCGTTTTGATCTTTTCTTATGTCTCCGGCTCCCTACAGTGCCCTGTTCGACAACGTGCTCACTATTTCGAGTTTTCTCAGCAGCAATGCGGTATGATGATTTCTTTGATCACTGGAGAATCTTTGCGACGGAGCCTGCAGATGAGTGCTGTTTTTGGATTGAACGCAGAAACGGATGTCCTCGGGAAGCTTTTGTACCCCGCTGTCCAGGTATTGCTCGCTGCTCTAGTAGACTTTTACTCATGTCATTTGAATGTAACATCAGATTGCACCAGCATTCTCGACGTCTTTCGATGATGTGTTTGGAGAGGGAATCAAGATGAGATGTCTCATTCCATGTGCAATTGATCAGGTCTAACTTTTCATGTCTGTTTACCACTTTTATTCATTCTTTCTTTCTGTGTAGGATCCATACTTCAGGCTCAGTCGGGATTTGGCTCCACGCCTCAAGCTCTACAAGCCCGCTTTGATAGAGTCCCGGTTTCTACCGAGCATCGAAGTGAGCTATCGTTTTTCCTTGTTTTACTTCTTTCTTATGCTGTCGCCTCACCCAGGCGGGTGACGGTTCTGGCAAAATGTCTGCAAGTTCTCCCAACTCAGCAATCTTTGTCACCGATACGCTGGAGGAGATCAAGCAAAAGGTTACACAAAACTCCTTTATTTGGCGTGTTCTTTTCTCCAATACTGTCGTTTCAGTTGGCTGGTGCTGCCGTGGAGTCTGTGCTCGCGTACCTCACCTTTTTCGAGGAAAACGATGCCGTTCTTGAAGAAATGAAAGCGGTAATGTACTTAAAACATGCTTTGTTCGTATATTAATCAAGGCTCTCACAGGACTTCTCGTCAGGAAAGAGATCTCTGGAAGACCTGAAAAACGACCTCAGCAAGGTTCTGTGGGAAGTGCTGGAGAATCTCCAGCAACTAAAAGCGGAAGTTGACGACAAGGTAGCAAGAGTGGCTTGAAAAATGGGTTGATTTTTCTTGCATGTTTTTCTTTCAGATACTCTCGGAATTCATGAGACCAAGATTGATACGATGACAAAAACAGATCTTAAAATACTAATTTGAAAATATTGAAAAGATTAAAAGGTTTCAAAAGTACAATATGAGAGAGAAATGTGAGGAAACCGAGAAAAGACCCTATCATCGCTCCCATTTGCATCATCAAGTCGACAAGCTCCGATGGCGATGCCCTCGGAAATCACAGCTCCATCGATGTGCCGAATCGAATGGCGAGAGCAGCGAAACACAATAGTCTGTGTCAGCTAAACCATTTTCAAGGTTTTGGAACAACGATTGGGTCCTTGAAATTGCTTTAACTCGTTTCAAAACTTCTCACGAAGACTGTCATCCTGTGCCTCCTAGAAACAAAAGCTTTTAGATGCGCCGATCGCATCAAACTAAAGAGCTTGCCATCAGTGTCTTATTTTGATGTGAGGCATTTTCCGTTCCAAAAGTTTTAATGTGAATCATGTTTAATAAACCACGAAAAAAAGAAACTTACAAATGAAACTTGTGGCTTGATTAGAAACTAATATTATAAACCATGTAAATAATCAATCTCTTTAACTAATCAAATGAAACCCACTTTAAAGTAACCTATTGAGAATCTGCCTCTTTAAATTAATTATAATTATATTTTAAAAATTTTAGTTCCCAATTTAAATTTTTTTTACACTTATTATATTAAGGATTTGTCAAAATATTCATTAACATGTTGGAGTTTGCACCTATGGAATGTAAATGGTGGGTTTGGATATTATTTTTATAACAATATTTGATGACATTAAAAATAACATATTTGGTTCTTTTGCACATTTATTATAAATGTAATATTTATTGATATAAAAATTAAAAATTAATTCAACCACTTAACAAAGGATTAGAGCTTAAAACCATAAAAATGGAAGTTCTTGAGTGATGTGGGTAAATATTTTGTCATGGAGTTCATTCCCTGGATATTTTATGTGAGCATATTTTGTGTTAATTAAGAATGTAATACTATTAGCTTTTAAATTTTATAGTTTTTGTAAAATTTAGGGTTTTTATAAATTATTAAAACTCAACTTATCTAATTTTAATCAAATTTGCAATTTTTTTATTTAACTAGCTAACTTTTTAAGCTCCAAAAAATTGCTTAAAGTTCAAAAGAAATAGTGAGATAAATTTTAAGTCTAAATATTCTTAAATAATTTTTCCTTTTATCTCTTCAATTATTTAAGAATTTAAATTTATTATTTTTGTTGTTATAGGACTTTAGTCTACCACTTTATAATGAATTTTTATAATTAATATTGAATATACACCTTGAGTTTAAAATGAAAGTTTAGAATTAATTAATTATTATAATTATAATATAGAAATTTAAACAAAATATAAATAAATAAAACTAAACATATAGTATTTGTATATTATAGTACTTATACTATAATACTCAATACTTATACTATTTTTTTGGGTGAGAAATAGTCAATAAATATAATACTTGTATCATATAAAAATTTACAATAGTTATTAAATATTTAAATTTAAAATAGTAGAAAAAAAGTTAAGTAAACAAAAAACATTATAATTATTTAAATTGAAATTATTTTTAAAGCAGTATGCTGTTATTACTTAATTATAACTGATATACATAAAATAAAAGGATTAGTTCTGAAGTGTTATAATATAAAATCTTAATTTTTTATCACCCACAAATCCTTTAAAGAAAGAAAACAATTCAAATACTTATTTTATAAATATATTATATAATAGTTTTTTAATTTATACAAACCCTAAAAGTTACTTTATGTTTTTAAGTTAATAAACTAATTTATAATCTCAGCCTATTATATTATTATTTTAAGGTATATATTTGTAAATGGGCTGGCGCTCAAGGCAGTGGCTCCAACTTCAGGTTTGCAATAGTTGGAACATGGTGTGTTGCTCACAAATTTGATTAGGGGCATACTACCCTCTACCGCTGAGGCTCCCAGATGACGAACGACCAAGCGAAGATATCAACAAGTCTTGCCAACACGCCCTTGCCAACACGGTGCATGCGTCCAGCACCCTTCCAGGCCTTCGCCCGCCTGGTTGGTTGATTTCCCTGGCCGGCTCGTCTATGACGCCAAGTCGCCCTTGATCGAGAGCAGCCGCGAGGGGGGCAACGCGTGGCTTGACTTTGGCATGGCTGCTCTCGCCTTTCCACCATTCGACGGGCGCCCGGAGAGACTCGTTACGCACTACTACCCGGGGATCCCTCATCGACGAAGAGTCCGTTTTGTTCGAGCTCCATTGCGAGGGCCCGTTCATCCAAGAGAGGCGAGCCATGCTGCGTGATAGGACTCGAAACGGCGCAGGGAGACTACGAGCAAGCGCTGATAGATGGCTTTGCAAGGTACTACTGGAGGCTGATTGTGTTCAACAAACCTTTATTTATTTATTTTCCTATCGCAGCATGAACGAGTACCTTACGGCCCAAGCAGGGGACACCAATGAGGCAATGGTTGGTAAACTAGAGCTGGTTAATAAACTCCTCGCTGCTTAATTATCTAATGCTGCGCTTTGGTTGTGGAGCTTTTTCAACAGTGCTACTGATGAAGCGGAACGTCATGTACACCGCTGGTGTTCGTAGCCGCTGTGTTGTCTACTCACCCACCCGTGAGCAAGTCTGTACGTGTTTCTTCCTTTTCTGTGTCTAAACATGTTGTGCCGTTGTCAGGAGATCGTAAGTTTTCCACAAGTGTGCCGCGCGATTACTGCAATCATCCAGAGGCGGGGACATGGTGGTAATCACCGAGACAAGTATCTCCAGTCGCCAGCCATTGAGACGCACAGGGCAAGTGTGCTAAACTCATCCCTGTTTTGGTGTGATAACTCTTATTTCCTGGAGTTTGAAGTAAGCATTGGATCTTATGTCATGCTGCTGCCTAGATATCTACAGTAAGCAAGCTACTGATCAAGTATTTGACGGTCTTTTTCTTTTCTTTTTTTTCTGCAGTGGTCCAGAGGAGATGGGCATGCTGTATGGGGGACTGAAACTGGTACGTTTTCGTTTTTACACAGAGTTTGAATTATAAAGCATGCTGATGATGCAGGGCAAGGACTTGCGAGAGATCTGTATGAGCATTCTCCTTTACCGCGGGATGAACTGCGAGGATGTGACTACACCGCTCGCTCTTGGCAAAGTCAAGGCTGGAATTTGGAAACCAGTAGAGTTACTTATTTTCATGAAGAAGCTATCATCTGTTGAATATTTCGCTTCTTTTAAAAGAGTTCTTATCGAAAGAAATCTTGCATAATCGTATATGCTGCCCACAGCATACGACTCTTCTATGGATAAAGTCACAGATTCCTTCTATAATCTATAGCATTTTTAGTGCTTTGACTGTAGCGGCGTGAAGCTATTGAGAGACCCAAAGTGCAACAAGGGGCTTGGTTTCACTCTGATCATCAGTATTTGCAAGGACTTCTACCTCCTGTCCATTTCTCTCAGGTGCCAATCTGATTTGGAATTCTCGACACGACACGAACCAAGTGCTGCTTTTTGGTGTTAGGAAGAACGAATTCTAGGGGATTTACGTTCGTACCCGGATCCTCGCTCTTATGGAGCGAATCATGGTTTCTAAAGAGCAACTTGCAGGAAAGAAACCTGTTCACCTTGCTGTTGGTCGTGTGCTTGAGGATCTCCTGATCCGAGTCTATCCCCACCTGGACGTGGTTTGGTCTCTTGCTCCACAAACTGCCGCATGCTCTTGGGGTTCACTTCGGTGGCTCTCCTGTACTCACACAATCGCCGGTAGAGCATCTCGGTCGTGCGCTGCAGGCACCGACACTAGCTGATAAACTCCTGGTGGAGGTCCAGCGAGAGGAGCATGGTCCTCTCCCTTGTCAATGCCCACATTGGCCCAGAAGATCTTGGCGGGTCCAACTTGCACCACTCATAATTATGAATTACGTTTCTTGTGATCATTCTTATGTTGGTACATTGCAAAGAAGAAAATCAGCTATAACATTTCTAGAGAAAGGAAAAAAATGGACAAATTGAGTAATATACGCAAACCATAATAATAATTGCAAACTAGTTTAATTAAAAATTAGAGGACACACCAGGAATTTAATGCTCGAGTTGAACATGTAGAATCGAACATGGGCCCGGTGGCAATGGTAGAGTAGACTGGAGGTATGTTGTTGAAAGTTGCTTGTCGGCCATGAAACTTTCTGGTAGCACTTGGATGGCTTGTGCAGCTGTGCATGCAGGATTGGTCTCAGCCCATGCTCGAGCTTTGCGAGCCCAGCGTGCGTCAATTGGTTGCTAGGCATCCCGCTGTGACGAGGGTCCGGTGCACGCAGCCCACAATCGCGCATGGCGTTGTTTTATGCAGCCCGCGTTGTGCTCTGCTTGTTTCTGGACGTTGTTGGATCCAGTTTTCAGCTTTTGTTTCAAGCTTCTGCAGAGTGAAGCTTCTTCCACATCACTCCAAGTAAATAGCAGGTGAGCTTGACATTACGACAAGGTCCTAAATGTATTTTACATAAAAGGATAACGCACAACAAAAAAGAGGGTGTTTGAATTCTTTCTTTGCCCTAGGCGAGAATGGAGCAGCTGGAAGGTGGAGCGATGGTGGATGACGGCCTCGCGCAGCTTGTTGAGCAGCTTAACCGGCATTGCCTTGCCCCCGACGGATCTTATGTCGCCAAAGCTGCTTACTATGATCTCGTCCAGGTACTCTGCTGCTTGGCTAGGTCGATGAGATTGAGCTCCAATCTAAGTCTTCGTTAGGCGCGTGAAGAGATGGGGCGGGAGAGGCTTCGTTTCCTCGAAGTGATGGTCGGTGGTTCGTTTCATTCTTTTCGGAGTGCTCTTAAACCACTGGCGCTGTTGTTATAGGCGGCTTACAGCGAAGCAGTGACACTTGTGGAAGAATTCCAGCAGGCTATCTCAGTGGCAAATGCAGGTGGAATCAGGGATGTTCAGGCATTGTTCTTGCAGCTCGGACTACGCTCTACTCCACAGGTAGTGAAGAGCTTTTCAAGTTTAGTTTCTAGACTTTTTCTCTTTAGCTGTTGTTTCTCCCGTCAAGGTGTATGAAGCCCTGGAGGAGCGTCTGGCTGTGGCCGAAGCTTGCCAGCGCTTGCGGCTCCCTTCCGTAACTAAAGATGGCGACATACTAGACGAGGAAGCGGAGAAGTGCAGCATTGTGTCGAAAAGCTCGCTGGACAGCAGCACCACCAGCATCAGCATGAGCTCCAGCAACACCAGCACTCCCAATCCCAGCCACGATGTTAGTGAAGTTGGAGTTTCCGGTGTTGTCAACCGGTTCCTGGGAATAACTCCTGCGTGGCTTCGTCAGACACATCTATCAAAGGCCCCTTTTGCTGAGGTTAGTGCCATCTCAATGGCCTTTTTCTGACGAGATTGTCTTGCCAGGACAGCACAGGCTACCTTATGCTGCTGATTCCGGAAATTGAATCACGGCTAAAAGCCAAGTGTGAGAAAATCAGCTCTTCCTTTCAAGAGAGTGGTCAGTACTTTGAGTCGTGGCTTTCAGTATTCAGATCTAACTTACTTTTGTCGTAGATGGCTTTGGTTCTCATGGTACAAAGAGCTATAGACTTGCTGAAAGGTCAGTAAAGATATTCGAGGTCATTTCCTATCAGGTGTTTCTTCCAGGGTTAAAGCAGCTGTAGAATCCAACGAGAGCGAAGAGGCGGCTTTACTTAGCGATCTCTACTCTGCGGACCGAAAGTTTTCAGAATACTACAATGTACGTTTCTTTAAATTTTTGTCCTTGAAGAGCGAAGCTTGATCAGCCATATCCCAGGTTCTTGAGCAGATATTGGGAGTACTGATAAAGCTGGTCAAGGACTATAAGCTGCAGCACCAGCATGAATATGTAAGTGTTCGAAACAATCGCGGGCATATAGATCGATTACTTGTCAAACTGGCAGGACGAGATGAGAAAAGCTTGGCTGTGTAAGCGTTGCGAGACAATGAATGCGAAGCTGCGGTATACGTTTCCTATATTACTAATGCATGATTCCGTTATCTTTTCCTTTTCCTAGTGTGCTGGAACACCTTGTTCTCAGAGACACGTATACGGAAGAATCAATCGCAGCGTTGCACAAGATCAGGTGTGCGCTTTTAAATATTTACTGGCGTGGCGGGCTGCTCACTTCATGGCTGGCTGCAGGAATTATTTGCTGGAAGCAGACGACGAAGCCACTGCCGGATATAATAGAGCCGTAAGTATCGGGACCAATCTCACGGAAGCTCGTCGCTTACCAGTCGTGGTATTCGCAGGTGACGAGGTTGCGCGAGTACCAAGGCGTGGATCAGTACTTTGATGACATTGCCAGGCGGTATCACGACGTTGTCAAGGTGAGAGCAAAATCGTGGGCAGCCTTTGATATGTTGGGTGGTGACAAACTTACAGAAACTGGAGGGAATTCAGTGGACAATAAGACAGGTGGAGATGGACCTCAATAATGGACACGAGCATTAGTTTGGATGGAACTGGGGAGCAGCCCAGTAGATACTTGAGAGGCTCGAAAAGGCAGGCACAGGGAATGGTGAAAGTGGTGGTGCCATGCGTGGAACTCGCTGGTGTTAGTTTGGTTTCTAGTGGCAGGGAAGACGAGCAAGCTACAGCAACGGAAACAGACTTGTTGGTTGGATGTATCCACCGTTTTGCGCTCTGCTAGATTCAATGGACTTGGTCAGTGCGGCACGAATTGAATAGGTGGGGGATCTCCGAAACGCTTGCGTCCAATGGCAAAAGAAATCTCCTTGAAACGAGGATGTGGCGCAAGCAAGTACGTCTCCGAAATTAGCAGGCTCCGCCATTTGTGGAAGGCGGCCAGGCTTGACTGCCCATAGGCGGTGGCCGCCGTCGCCAACTCCCGCGCGTTACCGGTTGGACCCCGTCCCGCCAAATGCCGACCACCACACTTTGGAACAAGGCTGCCTATAAAACCCACATCTCCCTTGGTTGGAAACTTGGATCCTTGGCTTACAAGGGAGGGAGGAGAAGAATCGAGCGAGCAGAAGAATGGGATACCAGCATCAGTTCTTCTTGCTCTTGTTGGTGTTGCTAGTCGCAGCATTAGGAATAGCAGCAGGAGAGGGAGATGGATCGTTCCGGGCTTTGTATGAGAAGTGGATGGTGGATCATGGTCGAGTTTACAATGGAATTGGTGAAAAGGAGAGGAGGTTCCAGATCTTTAGAGACAATGCTGAATATATTGAAGAACACAATCGGCAAGTGAATCAGACTTACTGGTTGGGCCTCAACAACTTTGCGGACATGACCCACGACGAATTCAAAGCCCTCTACTTTGGTACCAAAGTTCCCCTGTCGAACACGATCAAGTCTGGGTTCAGATACGAGGACGCAACGAATTTGCCTCTAGATACCGACTGGAGGTCAAAAGGAGCTGTTGCAACTGTGAAAAACCAGGGAGCTTGCGGTCAGTGAGCAAGTTTTTCTCTCTGTCTCTCATTTCTAAATCCATTCCGTCTCCGTTTTGCAGGTAGCTGCTGGGCCTTCTCCACCGTTGCTGCAGTCGAAGGAGTGAACCAGATTGTAACGGGGGAATTGGTGTCTCTGTCCGAGCAGGAGCTTGTCGACTGCGATAAGCAGAAAAATCAAGGCTGCAATGGCGGTCTCATGGACAGTGCATTCGAGTTCATCATCCAGAATGGCGGGCTGGATTCCGAAGCAGACTACCCTTACAAAGCCGTGTCTGGAAGCTGCGATGAAAGCAGAGTAAGCCTCTGGTTCTTCCTGTCTTGATAAACTTTCTAACTGGTGTTGCTTGTTTTCCAACAGCGCAACTCCCATGTTGTCACGATTGATGGCTTTGAGGATGTGCCAGCGGAAAGTGAGGCTGATCTGCTCAAGGCCGTTGCGAACCAGCCAGTCAGCGTTGCGATCGAGGCCAGCGGTCGCAACTTTCAGCTCTATTCTGGAGTAAGTCTGGAAGAAACCAGTTGTATCCTTTTTGGCTTTTGCTAACCAGCCAAAGGAATGCCATTGCAGGGCGTGTATACCGGTCACTGCGGCTACGAACTCGACCACGGCGTAGTGGCAGTCGGGTATGGAACGTCGAAAACCCCAGATGGTGTTGCCACGGATTACTGGATCGTGAGAAACTCTTGGGGTGATGCGTGGGGCGAGAGTGGATACATCCGGCTGCAGCGCAACGTCGCATCGTCTCGAGGCAAGTGTGGCATTGCAATGATGGCGTCGTATCCCGTGAAGAACAGCACCATCGTGGAGACGGTCCCGTCGAGCCGGAAGTCGGGCTTTGCTTTCCAATGAGAGAAAAAGCTACGACACGGCCAATCGTCAAGTTGTTTGTACAGATCGATCATTCGTTTCATTCGTCCGGGTCGTATTCCAGGATTCATTTCGCGAGAAAACGTACTCTTCCAGCTCTCTTTCTTTCGTTTGTAAGCATATCTATATATCGCCTAGTGTAAGAAAAAAAGAAGACAAACAAAACTTCCCAACTTCTCTGGATCAGCAAGAAGGAATTTGGAGCCCGTCATCCTGGACGATTTTGTCAATGAGACAGCTCGCGAAGGTATCGGCATTTCTCAGCTCGAGGTGTGGTAGTGGTGTCTTAAACTCGTAGTCGGATTCCAGCTTCGAGTAAGTCCCGCAAATCGCAACATCCTCCCTCCACAGCCCGTCGTATCTACACCTGGAGGTTGTGTAATAGAACACACCCTTGCCATGCTTCTTGTCGTTGGAAAAACACCCCTCATACACATCGCCATTCACTGCAAGATCAAACCAAATCAAGTTTTTTCCAAGAACACTTGTCTAAGCTTTTGCTCACCCATTGTCAGTGTTCCCGTGCCTTCGCGCTTGTCATCCCGCCACTGGCCAACGTAGACGTGATATCTCCCACTTTGGGGGCAATAGTACGTCTGTCGGCCATAGCCACTGCGAACGCCGCGCTCAAAGTCGCCTTCGTACACTTCGCCATAAGCGCAGTGAAGGTAGCCAGGCCCCTGCCAGTACATCCATCGTCTTGTGAGCTATCCTCACTTGTCGTCCATCCCAGTAGCAGCGAAAGAGAACTTACGTGCAAGTTCCCCGATTTCCAGTAGCCTTTGTAGACAACTCTGTACTTTCCATCTTCCCGGATGTAGAAAGTACCATATCCTTCTCTTCGATCTTTCTTCCAGTCGCCCTCGTACCGATTGCCCGTGCAATAGCTTTGGATGCCACTCCCTGCACAAAAGCCACCATGGAAATGCTTGAGCTCGAGTTTGAGAGGAGCTCGATCGAGTACCTTCTTTCTTGTTGAGCCTCCAGTTCCCACGGTAGAGGTCCTGTGTGATCCAGTAGACATCGTGGTGGAATCCATTCTTGTTGGCCCGCAAGTCATTGATCCTCCACGCGCTCTTCTTCTGCTTTTCCAGTTGCTGCTCGCGCTCCTTGAATTTCTTGCGGTACCAGTGCTCGGGCTTCTTCCTGGCCACCGGCTGAGGCTGGTGCTGCAAGCGTGCCAGTGCCAGAGGAACCTCCTTGGTCGTAAACATCACGGAGCGCCTCTCCTTGATATACGCGATCTTCGCTCCCCTCCTCCGATCCATCCCTGCTGCTCCTCCTCCCTCCTCCTTTGTTTCTTAAAGCTTTGAATTTGCTGTGGCGCGCGGCGCGGGTATATACACACGAATATTCACTCGTTCTGTTGTAAGTAGTAGTGTGTGGCTTGCTCCACAAAAAATAAGTTCAAAGCCCTGTTTTGATCGTATGGAGTCAGTCGTGACAAAAAGAAGAAAAAAACACCAACAAGCTCTCTCCTCTATTTTCAACCAGGTCACTCTCACCTTTCGCTAAAAAGCCTCGCTGGAACTCAGAGTCTATGTACGAGTTAGAAGTCAGCAACACGGACCCTCGTTCTCTCTATGTCAATCCCCGAGACAGGGGAAACATTCCAAAGCCGACACCTCGCTTCTCGATCCTGGAAGCAGCAGTCCAGAAGAAAAGTGGTGAGACAAGAGAGCAAGCAAATCGAAGAGAGCTAGAGAACTTACGAGGGAGCGAGCTTGCCGAGGCACCTGATCTCATTCCCGGTGGCCAAGTCCACCACCACACCGTCGATGTCGATTGTGTAGGAAGTGTTTGGAATGGAAGGCAGGCCGCGCTTGGCGAGAACCTGGAGATCCTGCTGATGTAACTCTCGGCCATTGATCACCACTCCGGTTTTGCCACCCGCGCAGTTTACTGGCATCGCCGGGTGCTTGAACTCCTCAATGCATGGCTGCAAAAAGCAAAAAGTACCCGGTCAAAAAACTATAGCAGGGTCATATGATCTTACGGGAACTATCCCGATGCACGGCCCTCCCATCACTCCCCAGAACCCAGCACGGTAGTCATACCTGTTGATCATCATCGTCAAGAACAGGAAAAAGAAAGAAAAAGATAGCAAAAGTGAGCTTACCAATAGTTTCCTGGATGAATCGGCCCAGCTAGTTCCTCGGCCTTTCTCACGAGCTCGTCCGGTATGGTTGCGCCGTTGATTGTCACAACCGAGTAATGCTGCTGCTGGAAATGGAGCTTGCTGATCTCCTGGATGCTCTTGAGAAGCAGCGCCTTAATTCCGCCACCCCCGGCTTTGGGCTTTGGGCTCGTCTCCGACGAAGACTTTGTGGAGGACCTCGTGCTCTTGTTGTCAGCCACCTTGAGGAACTGCGATGGCGATTCGTAGCCGAAGAGCTCGTGGAGACAGGGCGCCAGCGGCACGGTGGAGCTGGATCCCGCGGAGATGGTCCTGGCGTGGCTTGAGGGAGTGGAGGCGGAGGCGCCGTGATGGAACTCGGGAGCCGACTCGTAGCCTTTGCTGTTGCTGGTGATGTTGTCCGTGATGCGCTTTTGGAGATGGAAATGAGCTGCGTGATACGAAGCTGGAGCCGAGCCTGGAACTGGCGAGCTCGAGGAGCTCATCATCATCGCCACCATGTCCATCTTCCTGTTGTGATCGATCCCTGACGCGTTCTTCATCGTCGAGCCGCCGCTGGAACGATCGAAAGAGTCCACGGGAACAATGCCTAGCTGCTGCTTCCTCTCGTGCTCGACGTCGGCGAGTGCGAACTTGGAGATGGAGTGGCAAGCGCCACACCGGAGCTTCTGGACGCTCGTCTTGGAGGGTGGCAGCGAGCGAGGGACCTCGAGCAGCTTGTCACAGTGCTGGCACACGACGTAAGGCGAGTTGAGTGGAGGATACGCTCTCTTCTTCTTGTTCCCTGCGGGGCCGGCGGTGACGGCAACCATAGCCAGATGATGATCTTCTTCATGTCCTCCCAACGCATCGGACGAGCTGCTACTGTTCCTGCTCCTCCTCGCCGCCGCGTTGCAGCGCAGATCTTCTCCAGTCTCAGTGGCAGCAGTGGAAGTGGGAGCCTCCACTGGATGAAGATCATGAACGCACGACTTCCGGCGAAGATCGTCCGACTGAGCACTCGAGTCGAGCTCTTCCAGTGTGGAGTGATAGTCACTCATGGCATCCAAGTCGCGAGCTTGCCTGGGAAACGTGAACTCGTCCAGCTCCTGCCTCGTCATTCTTCCTCCATTGCCGGCGCTGCTGCCATTGCTGCTTGCTAGCCTTGTGGTGGCGTTCTTGCCGTCCTCCGGAGCTTGGGCTTGTGCCGGGAAAGCTTCCCTGGCCAGCTTCCTCATGTCCTGGAGGAGCAAAGAATTGTCCTCGTCTATGGCTGCCGGTGCTGGTGCTGGTGCTGGTGCCGCGGCCGAGGACATCCTCTCGCTACCACTGCCAATCCCATTCCTGGGCGTGTACAAAGGCGAGGCCGAGGCGTCGAGTGGATTCCCGGGAAGAGGGCTGGGATTTGGAATGGCGATGGGCTGCCGCTCCCTGTGCTTGTAGAGCGGCGGCGGAGGAGGAGGAGGAGAAGGGGTGGAAGCTTTGGCAGCAGCGGCGGCCGCGGCGGCGTTGTTTTGATTTTGATCGGCTGCGACTGCGAGCGAAGATCTGGCATGCTTGGCTGCCACACAGAGAAAGAATGACACCACAAAATCAGTGCCAAGCAAGCGAAGAACACGCGAGGAGCTCACCGATCAAGACCGTGAGGCAGTTGACACACTGGTAGATTGTGACCCCGGCCGTGGGCTCGACAAGCAGCTCCTTGCATCCTGGGCAGTGGACGATCCTCGTCATGATCTTGGGCTAGGATCCCTTCTTTCTTCCCAAATGCGCCCTCACTCTCTCTATACCTCGTTGCTCGCTCTCGCCCGCGGCTAAGTCACGCCCATGGATGGAAGAGCTAGGAGCTAGGAGCTTTGCTGGGCTCCCTCCATCTCCCCCTCCCTGTAGTGGTGGCTGACCTAATTGCGCTGGAAGGATACAGCTGCAAAGGACCCACAATCAATGCCGCGAAAACGAAAACGCTGCGCGTTCCCTGCCTCCTCGGGTGCTCGATTCCTGGAGCGAGAACACAGGGCCAGCTCGCTTAGGTATATAACTGTTTTGTTTCTAGCTCCTCCACCCCGGGCGATGATCCATTCCATCCAACAACAAAGCGCGAGCCGGGCGAAGAACAAGGGGGAAAAAAATTTGGAGAGGGATCTCTTTCTTTACAGGAGAATCCAGAAAAAAAGAGGATCGATCGAGGAGGAACTGGGCATTGGATTGGATCTTCGCTCTTACAAAAAAAGAAATTAATCAGAGGGATGCCGCTCGCTCGCTCACTCCCCTGGCGCGGTCAGAGAAGTTATAATTCTTGTCCACAAGCGAAACAAAGAGAGGAAAAAAAAAAAAGGTGGACGGACGCGTGCTTCTCCTCTGACTATAAGGCGAAGACGACGCGACGATGGGAGATCGATCTGGCGTGAACCATGCATTGACACGCTTTACGATGCGTGTTGGATAAGGCCACTCGGAGACATTCCATTTATTAGGGTTTGAGTTCTCGGAGAAGAAGAGGAAGAACTTGCAAGGAGCAGCATGGCGGGAGAAAGTGGCAATGCTGTGAGTTGTTCTTGTTCTTGGGTTTTCCTCTCGCAGCTCTGATCGATCCATGCCATGGTTTTACAGCAAAAGAGCGATGTTTACATCGTCCACATGGCGAAATCGGGCGAGGAGAGCCCCAACGCTTTGGAAGCCAAGCAGCTAGACGTGCTAGCCTCGGTTCTTGGAAGGTGAGCGTGAGATTTTGTGTTCTTGGTCACTGATTTTCCTTGAGCTTTTCCAGCCCCGACGCGGCCAAGGACGCGATCCTCTACCACTACAAGCACTCGATGCACGGGTTCTCCGCCAAGCTCACGGCGGATCAAGCCAAGGCGATCTCCGGTAAGAAGAAACCCTCTGCTCTCTCTTTTTGAGGCTTTCGTGCTCTAGCTATGGATGAAAGAATAGAAAAAAAAAGAAAAGAGGCTGTAGCTACGGATGAAAGAGTAGAAAAAAAGAATGGCTTGTTTGTTTCTTGTGTAAGTACCTAAGATTTTGTTTGGGCGTGTGATACCAGAGCTTCCAGGAGTCCTCCAGGTGCATGTAAGCCAAACATATCAACTCCATGGCGGCGGGGCAACACCAACTGTGCAAGAGGCTTCTTGAGAATTGTTTACATTTTCCCAGGAAAGAAGTGTCATGTAAATCTATACTACTAGTAATAATAAGGTGGTATCAAGGTTTTGATTTTAAAGAATGGCAGATGGTTTTGGTTTTGTCCAGGCGACCCGGTCAACATGGATGATGATGGTCAATTCATGAATCCATCAAAAAATTTCTAAAGGTATGGGGCCCTAACCAAACGCGGGCTTTGGTGAGCGAGCGTGTTGTTTTTTTATTTCTAGAGATTTCTGGGAGAAACATGACGTGGGTCTTACTCAAGCACAAGCATCGACAGTGTCACATGCTGATTTACCATTCCTTTCGGAAGGTGGTAATAGTAGATTCCTTGGTTTCTTATCTGCTGGGGAATCTTACAACATTGGGATGTAGTCGACCGAAAGAGGAAGGGCTGTGATTGAGGGGAGGAGTTTTGGCCCGCAAGGTAAGTTGGAAAGAGATCAGACCAGAGCTATACTTGTCTTGAGGTTTTAACAGCTACTATGGCACTGGATCTCATCATACCTCCGAAGTTTGTGGTCAATTCTCATGAATGGCTGATTCTTTGGGATGTCTTGTAGAGGCTAAAAGAAGTTCCGGCGCGAATCACGGCTGGGTGCTTATAAAGATAGACCATTTGCTTCCATGGCTGTTGACAAGATCGACGAGGAGGAAGCATTTAGCCGCGGAAAAGAGAATGTGGATGAGGATTGGGATGATCAGCCCAAGGTAACAGTGCGTGATAAAGTTCCACCCGTACTTTTGTCTTGTCACCATTTCCGTACGAAAAAACTTCCGTGCACAGGTAACAATGCATTTCAGATTGGGGGAAGTGTGTTGCGAGGCTAATGCAAAGACTATCAAAGCCAAACTGGAAGCCATCCGAGGTACGTACACCAAAAACATTATGTAAAATTCATAGAATAGATTCAATCAGGCATAGACGAGGTTCGCGTGGATCACAAGCTCAAGAAGGTGACGATCAAGAGCTCAAAACTGGCGGCAAAGGGAGTAATAGACATTATCTCCAAGTTTCGTGGAGTACAGTTGGAGCCATGGAAAGAACAAATGGCTGTTCCTTCCAAAAGAATTCATATTGTTGAAGTGATTAAACGTGAAGATCCACCGATGAGGGCGAGAATGGCTGTTCATCACCCAAACCAAGGCCAGATCTTCGTCTACACAACCAGCGACTGCTACGAAACGTGGTACGAATCAAAAGACGCCAGATTCTAAGAATGAGTAGATTCTGTCATCAAATATATTAATAATCTAAACGGCCTTAGAAATAATTTACTTATAAATCCTAGCGGAAGAATAGAGTTTGAAGAACAAGATTGTGCAGCAAACATACCAACAAACTTGCGGAGCTTCTTCTTGGCGATCGGCTTTGGCAGTCAATGAAAGTAAACAGGTTTTGAAGACTTGCACTGACTATATTGACTTTTTATTGACATGAATTGACTAACTGCTTATCAAGCACAAAACAAATTACCATCTAGATGTAAGAAATGCGCTAAATAAACTCTCAGGCTAAACGCTTACGCTTAGTCTTGCTCTTGGACGTGCTCTTGGACTTGGGCTTCTTCTTACAGGGGTCCTCCACATCTTTGTTACGCTCCCGCATTTCCGCAAATAGCCGTTCACGCTCCTCACACCATGCCCGCTGCTGCTCCTCGGTTAGAGTGAGCTCGTAGCCTAAGTCATTCCAGACAGGCTCCGGTGCCTTGTTCGTCACACCATCAAGCAATCGCTGCAGGTGATAGAGATCAACCACCACATCCGCTGGCGGCAGCTCCATCTGGTAATCCTCCAACCCAATCCTATCACACGCCACCCCTCCCAGCCCAACACCCGAAACTTGAGCTCCGTCCCTCTCGAGTAGTAGCACAGTCGACGGGTCCAGCGCCTTGGATCCAAAACTCACGGCCTTCTTCTCAACTGTGCCATCGCCCTGCTTGCAGCTGCGGATCGCCACCAGCTGCTCGGTTTTCATCTCGTACTGCTTCACTCCCAGCACAATGCGAACGGCTGGGTTGGCGGCCAGCAGCTCATTGCAAGCCTCCAGCAATTCGGGCAGGGTCCGAGCCACTCCAAACACGATGAAGCCAACCGAGTCGTCGTCCGAGTTGAATTCCTCTCCCTCTCCCTCGTCTGGATCAGCCAATGCGATATGGAAGATAGCTCCCACTGCCCTGCTGCCGGATGGATTCAGCTTGATTGGTGTGCCAAGATGGAGCATGGTGTCGTCGGTGAGGTAGTGTTCGCCCAGGCGGTCGAGGGTTGCAGCGAGGATGGGCGTCACCACGTCTTCTACGTAGCAGACTTTATCCTCCAGGCGGAAGCTCATTCCTGCTTTCCAGCTGACACCAGTGTCTGAAACTGAGAGCTTGGCCTTTTGAGCCTCACAGATCCCCTCAAATGATTTGAGCGTGCTGATCTGCCCCTTGTAAACAAACTCTTTGGGGTTGCAGTCGAGAGCGTCCCCCTGAGCAGCGGTGAGTAAAGCTTTCGCCCTCAGACGAGCCATCAGATATGTATTACCCGTCTGCGTCCTCCGCGCCATCGCTCTTGCTAACGACAATAAGGTGAACCCTAAACTGTGACTCTATAATTAGTCGAGGTCCTTTCACATTGGAGGGTTTATATATACCAGGAGATTGGAGAGGATTGTGGGAGGCGGGCGGCGGTGATTGGCGATGCTGTGGTCGACGCGGCGGCCAGCGGAGATGTCCCTGGCGGCGGTGCACGACCGGAGGAGCCGTCCCAAGCGCTTGATGCGCTCCTCGTCCTCCTCCTCGCCTTGCTCGTCATGGTGCTGGTCATCGATTGCGATTGACGATCGATCGAGCGATCCAGAGAAGAGGGCGATGATATTCCATTTCTTTGACAAAAGTGACATCGCCCCATTGTTCTTAAACCATTTAAAACGAAGTTAAGTTTAGGGTTTATGGTCTATGAGATTATTCCATAGTATATCCTCTCAAGTTAAGATTATTCTACAGTATATTCCTTTAAGTTATTCCATAGTTTTAAGTTTGATCTCTTTGCTTGTAAATGTTCTCCATGAGTACGTAGGCATAGCTCGATCCATCTCTCGTCTCTTCCATTCCCAGCAGCGCCTCGAATGCCACTCGCCCAATCTCCAAGTTCGTCCACTTCTCACACCCCGCGAGGAGGATCGTCCATCCCACCGCAGTCGGCTTGAAAGGCATCGATCTGAGGAGCTCCACCGCGGCCTGGAGGTCATTCGCGCGGCACAGCAGATCCACCACGCAAATGTAGTGCTCCACGCACGGCTGGATCCCAAACTTTTGCTCCATCGTGTCGAAGAGCTTCCTCCCGGCTTGGATCCGGCCAGAGTGGCTGCAAGAGCTCAGCACACACTGCAAGGTGGTCGCGTCTGGATCCACGCCTTCGCCCAGGATCCTCTCGAAGAGCTCCAAGGCTCGATCGCTCTCGCCGCTGCGGCTCAATCCAGCGAGCAGCGCGGTCCAAGTTGCTTTCCCGCTCCTGGACGATGGGAGCGAGTCGAAAACTTGCTGGGCTTTCGCCACCTCGCCGTATCTTCCATAGACATCGATGATCGAGGTGGCGAGCGGAGAATCGAAGTGGACGAGCGCTCCATACCTGTTGATCTTTTCGTGAACTGCTAGAGTTGCGTCCAGGCTCTGGCAAGCTTTGAGAGCGGCGACGAAAGTCGGGCTCTCGGGAACCAGGCCTTCGTCTCTCATGAGCTCCAAGCAGTGGAGTGCCGAGGTCTCTTCCCCGCTTGAGGCGTAGCCGAGCGCCAAAACTGTCCACGAGAAGACGTTCCGGTTGAGCAAGCGATCGAAGACTCTGCGAGCGTCCACCATGCTTCCACAGCTCGCGTACATGCTCACGAGCGTACTGGCAACGAAGCTGTCCATTTGAAATCCCCGGCTCGACACCTCCGAGTGGAGAGCCATGCCTCTCTCCAGCGAGGAAAGCTTGACAACTCCTCCTGTTTCTAGCGTCTGGCCTTCCTCTTCACTCGCCAAGCTCGAGCAGGCCTTGAGAACCGTGGAGTAAGTCCGAGTGTTTGGAGCAGCGCAGTTTTGAGCCGTCGCATGGAATCGAAGACTCGGACGGCCATCTCGGGCTCTCCATTCTCCACGTACGCATGGAGCATTGCGTTCCAGAGCACGACGTCGTCGAGAAAGAGCACGAAACTCTTGTCGAAAACCATCCGAGCGTCGAGCAAACTTCCACAGTTGGAGTACATATCCACCAGCGAGCTCGCTACAAACTTGTTGGCCTGGTTGCATCCGAGCTCCACAGCCTGCGAGTGAATCGCCATCCCTCTCTCCAAACACCTCAGCTTCACGGCCTTTCCGCCAATCTCCTCAAAAGCCTCCTCCTTGGAAGCAATGCCCGAGCACGCCTTGAGAGCCGCCACAAAAACTCTAGCGTCGGGTGAGCACGAGCTTTCCATCTTCATGCGATCGAAGCACAGCAAAGCCAGCCCCGCCTCGTCGTTCTCGACGTATCCCAGCATCAGCACTGTCCAGGAGACGCAGCTATGGATCGCCATCCTATCGAAAACTCTGCGAGCTTCCACCGTGGAGCCGAGCTTGGCAAGCATCTCCATCACCGCATTCGCGACTTTGATGTCCGAGTCGATGAATCCCTTTGCCGCTGCTCCGGAGTAGACCCTCATCCCAGTTTCCATCCACCAGCCTGCATCTTGCTTGGGGGAGCTTTCGGCGAAACGCGAGCAAGCCTTGGCAGCAGCAAGATATATTCCTTCCATGCCTGTGAGAGGTTCTAGACCCGGACTAATGTATCCCAGCATCCAGGGATCCACACCACGCAGCAATGCTCCGGACATGGAATGCAAAGCGCTGTGAGCTTCTACCATGTTGCCACATCGAGCACAAATGCGGATTAAGGCGCTGGGAACGGCAATGCTGGAAATCCCCGTGGTAGCGTGGATCCTCCTCCCGGTTTCTACATCCCTGGTGCTGCGACACACCTGGAGCGTTGCGGCATGGAAGGATTGCTGGAGGAGCCGCCATGGATTTGGAAATGCACCTGGATGCCGTGCCAAGACCCTCGCAGCCACGCTCCTCGACCTAAACCCTAAACTCTCTTGGGTATATAGCTTGGCTAATTTTTGTTGCCACGTAAACACTCTTTCTTGCCATACTTACAGAAGTACTTGCCCAGCAAATGCTGGGTGGTTTACAAGGAGGTGGATGTAGAGTCTTTGACCGGATGGAGAGGCATGACATTGTCTTGGGATGATGTTAATGCTCACATATGTCCAGGCAGAGCAAGCACCAGCTGTGCTGGATCTCTTCTCGTGGATGCAGCAAGTCCAAGGCCTGGTACCTGACCCTCCAACTTACGCTGCACTGCTCCGGGCCTGTGGGAGCTCCATGGCTGTGGAGACTGGAAGGGCCATCCACCAGCAGATCTGTCATGCTGAGATGGAAGCTGAGGTGGTTGTCATGAATTCTTTGCTGGGGCTGCATGGTGGAAGCTCGCAAAGTTTTCGACTTGGCAGCCAGTGCGGGATGCAATGCCATGACTTGGAATGAGATCATCGCCATGTAGCCTTGGCTCTTATGCTCTTCGAGTGGATGCTGGAGGATCATTGGCAGCATACTTCAGCTTCTTCAGCTTCCCCTCCTTTGACAGCTCAAAGAACTCCCTCGACACCTTCAGGTTGCACACACCTTCAGGTCACTTATATACCTTGCATCACCCACACCTGCTGCCATGGTGCTAGTTAGCTCTAGGATTCAAGCATAGCCCAGCTCTTCATTTCTGGTGCACTCCCTCACCAGCCCCCGACTATCATTCTACTTGCCCCTATTATCCCTGTGAGCACCTCCTCTAGGAGCTTACAAACACATGGACTCTCACGGGAATGCCCACATAACTGCATTGTAGAGCAGCCATGGAGCCCTAGGAGTGCATGGTATAACAACTGTCACCACACCCTCTTCCCTTCACAGCCACACATGCATCCTGCCCACCATGGCCACCGATCTTGGCTTGGGCCTGGGGTGACCTCCCCTTCCCAAGAACCATGGCTTCTGAGGCTGCCCCGGGCCCTGAATCAGACGGCTGGGGCGGTCTGGGCCCATCATTCTTATTATTATAGATATATATGTATCTATCATTTACTGAACTTTTTGGGCTGCCGGATCCAGCCAATTATAGCCGTCCGATGGGGGGTAACTATAAAATCACACTGATATTTGCTAATAGCCAATGGGAGGCAGCCAAACTGCATGGGGCGGGAGAGGAAGGCACTGCAACACATGTCACATGCAAAGTGTTGACTGTCAAGTGAAGAAAGCACTGTGAAGAATGCATTGCCATCACTGTTCCTACCAGGTGATTGCTCGCCTACTATCTAGGGATGCAACAGTGTGGAGAGTAGGCTGGTCCCAGGGCTACCGATGGCATGGCTGCATGTTTTCTCCATTGCCAATTTTGGGGGAGTGAGCAACGGGATCACGTTTAACTCCAAGGTGTTCCAGAAGGCAATCGATCACATTGGCAGCTTTGGTGAGCTGGGAGGCATGACGATTGGCTCACTGAAACGAACAAGAGTGCGAACCCTAGGCCAACCTCCCAACCCTTAAGGCATTACGGCCTTAAATCCCACAAGCCATAGAATATTCTTGGAATATTCCTGTGGTTTGTGTCATTCTCCCTTCCCTCATGACCTAGCCACATACGGCAGCCTCAAGAAGCTAAACAAGCCTCACATGAAGGGAGTCCAAGGCAATACAGCCATGGAGAAAAGATGTGCAAATGGCAACACCAACGTCACGACAAACGGCCACAAAAGAAAGAAAGCAATACGGCTTTCTCACATGACAATACAGTCATGGAAAACAAGAGAATGAGAATAGAACAAATGGCTCAAATCATATAGCAATACGGGTATAGAACTCAATTCTCCCCTTCCTCAGGAATGTCATCCAAGTCATAACCAAAACTCGGAAACACTCTCTTCACGTCATCCTTAGTTTCCCATATAGCTTCGTCCATGGAATAACCATTCCACTAAACTAACAACTCCCTAGTTGTTTTCCGGCGTGTTTTCACCAATCTTTGAGCAAGAATATTGGCCGGACCAGCCTTCTCTACATCAATCTCTAGAACCTGGATGATGGACTGATCCACAATATGAGCAGAGTGCAAACACGCTTTAAGCTTGTTCATATAGAACATTGGATGAATATTCAAACTAACTGGCAAGTCCAAAGTGTACACAATATCCCCCACATGCTGTAAAATTGTCCAAGGCCCACAATACCGTGGAGACAACTTAGCACTGCCACCTCCTTTCAGAGACCATTGTGCATTTAACAGCTTAAGGAAAATCTTGTCACCAACTTTGTACTCTTGATGACGACAATATTCATCAGCCAATCTTTTGTCTCGCTCTTGAGCTTGCCTCATGTTCACTTTTGCCAACTCAAGCTTGTCTTGCATATTCTCCAGGAAATCATAAGCATGAGGAACCCGAACCAAAGCCAAATTCAAACTCACAGGAGACCTAGGCTCATAGCCATACATCACCATAAAGGGAGACATGCCAATAGCTGATTGATGAGCGCTATTGTGAGCAAACTGAAGCAAAGGCAAGTATTTCTCCCATACTCCCTATCGAGTCAAGTTTCCCACAAAAGATCGTAGCATATCTTCTAATAGCTGATTCATGCGCTCTGTTTGCCTATCAGATTGTGGATGCTCACCACTACTCATGCTCAGTTTAGTCTCTAGTTTCTCAAAGATCGTTTGCCAAAACTTGGACGTGATCTTAGGATCCCAATCACTCACAATGTCACCCGGCAAACCATAGAGACTGAATAACCGGTCTACAAACATTTGAGCAAGTTCAAAAGCTTTTATTGTTGTCTTCACAGGGAAGAAGTGAGCCATCTTCGTCAAACGATCCACAATAACCCAAATAGCATCATTTCCTCGAAAGGTTTTGGGCAAACCAGTGATAAAGTCCATTGAGATGCTATCCCACTTATTTTCGGGTACACGTAAAGGATGATAGAGGCCAGCGAGATTCTGATGATCAACTTTGACCGCCTGGCAGGTCAAACAACCACGTACGTACTTCTCAACATCTGACTTCATCCCAGGCCAAAAGAAATGCCTCTTCACCAACATATACGTTCTCAATACCCTCGGATGCCCAGCACTTGGCACATCATGACACTCAACCAAAATCCATTTGATGCGTTTGTCAACACGAGGAACCATTACACGTCCCTTCTTCATTAGAATTCCATCTCGTATTTCGAATGACGTGAACTTGTCACCCTTCAAATCCGTAGAGGCATCCCTCAACAAAACCTTCGCGCGAATATCAATGATAAATGAGTCGAAGTCAGCAAACTCCTTAAGCTCATCCAAGAGATCGCTGGATAGCTTCACGAACGAGATAGAATTTACCATCCTGGATAATGCATCAGCCACCTTATTGTCACCTCCATGTTTGTACCGGATCTTAACAGACATTTCTTGCAGGAACTCTTGCCAACGAGCAAGGTGGCCTCGAAGATCCTTTTGTCGACTGAAATATTGGAGAGACTGATGGTCTAAATCCACATGGAAGTTCGATCCATATAGATAATGTTGCCATTCCTTCACAGCAGCAATCACAGCATACAACTCCTTGTCTTGAGTAGGCCAATTCTGCTGTGTGGCATCAAACTTATGGCTCATGTACGCAAGAGGATGCCCACCTTGAAGCAATACGGCTCCAATAGCAATGTCACTAGCATCTGTCTTGACCACAAGAGGCTTTTCAGGATCAAAAATCTTCAACACCAGAGCAGAGATATAACATTGCTTCAAATGTTGAAAGGCAATTTCACACTTCTCATCCCAACTATGAATAGTAGCATATTTTGACGTGTTCTGGAGAAGATCAATTAAAGGGGCTGCT